TTGGATCAGGAAACCAGGGTTTCCAGTCTTCAAGCACTCATGGAACCCATAAGTAAACTTGAGTGAGTCACACTGTATCAACCTCAGAGGAAGGTAATGGCAACCACATCCCCTAAATAAATCTTGCCAAGAAAACCTCATGATAGATCACCATAAGTCAGAAATGACTTGAAGATACACAGCAAGAAAACCAGTCTCTAAACTGATCATGATCATAGAAAATGAGATTCCATCTCAACATTAGGGGGAACTGCCTGATGGTAAGAGTCATAGAGTTGAAAGAGACCACATGGGCCATCCAGTCCAAACCCCTGCCATGCAGGAAAAGAACAATCAAAGCAATTCTGATAGATAGCCATCTAGCCTCTATTTAAAAGTCTTCAAAGAAGAGATGTAAGATATGTTCAATAGTGGAATATGCTGCCTTGGAGTCTCATTCTCTGGAGATTTTTCAACTACTGCTGGATGGCCATTTGTCAGGAATGCTTTGACAATATATTGCTGCATGGCAGGGGATTGGATGAGATTGCTCTTGTGGTCTCTTTCAACTCTATGATTTTGTTTTGCCTAGCAGCAAAACTTTAGATTTGGGCTGGCAGCAAGTGAGCTGTCAATACATTTCTTTCAGCAGAGGCAGTATGTCCTGCCAGCTGATCGCCCCATTCAAAAGCCTGGCCAAAGTACTATATTTTGCACCAGGTTCGCCTTCTGGGTCAGACTAAAGGAAACTGCATGTACGACTCATTTGCAATAGCTCATCTTGAAACTGCCAATGCCTAGATCCATGTAGCCAAACTCTTTATCACACACATATCTGTACACTTACACTTGGTGTGCCTTATGAATCTAGTAAAATACACTCCAAATTTGAGCCACTAAATTGACCTTGTGCACCAATGACCACTATGAATCCAGCAGTATGTCTACATTGCATGTTTTGTTTCTCAGAAAATCCCTCAGATAGAGGGAGAAAGGCTGAAATCAGGACAGAAAGGACCTGCAGTCCATAACTATAAATATAGCTTTGCCACTGCCTGGCATGTTTCTCTCTTCTTGAGTATTGCAACAGCAAGGGCATTACCCAGTCACTTTCAATGTTCCATTCTTTATATTTATTTGTTATTATGAGTTATTTCCTTCCCAAGTAAATTTACAATCCATTTCAGCAGGATGCGGCTGTATCCAAGCTGGGACATGCAGCATGAAAATGGAAGCTGACAGGAGTAAAATCACTTCCAGCAAACCCATTTTGTATTTGTTTCTCACATCTGAATTGCCGATAAACAGTTACCCTTCCACTCCCTGCCCAAGAAAGGCGTTTTTGCAAGGGCCTGCTATTAATTACATGAAATATTGATGGGTGTTGTGTGGCTAGAAGACAAGACACGCACCCCATCCTTAGTGTGATAACAACACTGTGCAGAGAAATGAAGTGCTGTGTTTTTAGGAAAGCATACATTAAGCTCCAGCGCACAGTCACCTAAGAGAGCTTCCGAGAAGTCGAATTAGAAAAGTCGAAGGGTATACTGCCATCTGCCTACTTTCTTTGTCAATGCACCACAAGAATAAGTTAGAAATCAAACACACACACATTTTCCTCAAATGTCAGAGAGCAAGGCTGCCCTGGAGGGGAGCATTATTGGTAGTCAGCATTTATTGATATCTGGCTTCTTCTAATTCCTTGGTCAGGAGAAGAGCCACCACATGGCCATGAAAAATCGAAGGCACCCCAGGCAGTCATCCTTCTGCTCTCAAATTCATTTATAATCTTGTTCATTAGAGGAGCAAATTGATACAGGACTGGAGGATAAAAAGATATGCACAACACATCAGCAAAAATTTCCCTTCTTTCCTCCAGATTGGGTTGATAAATCAGAATGATTCAGACCAAAGAAATGGAATCAACAAAATATATTTTTAATTCTATGAAGAAAGCAAAAACAACCTGAATTTAGCTCCACTAATGCTGGTGGCTGGTGTCCTCCATGGTACTAAAAGCAGTGAATTTTTAGCCTAGATTTTGTTTTTTTCCCAACTATAAAGCAGGAGTGAGTAGAGTGCTTCATGTGGACATTTAGACCATTTTTGTGGATTCAGGGGCCACAGAGAGTCATTTTTTAAATTTTTCCAAAAAAAGTCCCAAAACGTGCCCAAATGCCCTGGGACTTGGGGGGCATTTTCATGAAATTTTTGAGCCATGCCCAGACCAATTTAGACCAAGAAGAGGACATTATTTGAAACCAAGTGAACTAGAAATTACTTGACTTCCTGTTGTATAAAAGGGCCTGTCCTGGACCTAAAATGGCCCACTGTGACATGAAAACATGGGGAAAATGTTCCTCAGACCTCCTAGACAACATATGGAGGCATTCAGGAGGCCAAACAAACAAGGTTTTACTCATTGATCCACTGCTTTCTAAAAGACATGTATGGGACGCATTTTTCATAGTCAGTCTGAGGAATCGTGCTGAAAGAACCTTTATAGGTCATGCTGAACAATGTAGACTTTTGACATTCTCTCCTGTAATTGGTGGAGTCTATATTTTGGTTTCAAGAAAAATATAGGCCAGCCTGGTTTCTTCTTACAGAGGTAGCAGAGAATTTTTTTTATAATTACATAATCAAAATGGCAATGTGGAAGTCACTGGCTTGCTTTGGTCTTGAAGGAGCTCAGGACACTGACAGCCAATTAGAAAGTTATCGATGAATTTGCCACTTCATTTGCACTGCCTTCTTTTAACATCAGTTCTCACTGGAAATTGTTGCTTACACTGGACACTATAAACAGCATTGGTGGTTATATAACCTTCCCCATGGAGAATTTCTTATCAAGGGAAACTGGCATCTATCTCTTAGAAAAGCGTAATGGTAACAAGCAGATGCCTTGTTAAAATGGTGCCACTTTCCTAATGAGTAGAAACCAACCTTGTTAGGGAACAAGGTGCTATGACAGGAAACTGGACTTAATTAACCAATTCAGGGAAATGACCCAAACTAGTCATCAAAAGATTCTGTCTATCAAATTCAGCAGGTGTCAAATAAGGAAAGACTGTATAATTTGGATGTAAACAACTTCAAGTTTAAACAGTTTCGATGTGGAAAAATGGAGACCAGATTTCCACATCCCTCATTAAAAGTCAAAGCTGTTCCACATTTATGTGTTAATAGTATTAATGTGCTTCCAAAATCCACACTGGAATGCAAAGAGTAACTCATTTAAATGTCAGTTACAGGGACATTCACAGCATTCCCAAATCCTTCTTTAAATTCTGAAGTGCCAGTTTAATTGAAAAGGATGAGGTTGAAAAATGAGGAGAAATCACCTAAAGAGAAACTGTTTAAGGAGAGTAGCATAATGTCTATCATTATTATTACTGATGGAACATACCACTTTCTGTATTGAGTTTTTCTGCAGCAGAAAACAAGTAGTTACCCCTACAGTTGGTACCCCATTTTGTCAGCTCGGGGCTGACAAAATGTAGGGCAGGACTTCAGATTTTACTAATTTTAATGCCATCAGCCAACAAGAACATTTTATGCAAACAGATATTCTGAAAGCTATCAAGAAAAGAGCACATTTCCTGAAAGAAGAACCAGGAAAATAAGACTCTGTAAATAGAAGATCAGCTGCTGTCCTCTCCTTTTTGCCTTGTCTTTTATTCATGTTGTATTTTGAAATGGTCATACGACTGGTCAAATAAATCATCATCATCACCATCATCATCACTGCAACACACAAAGCAACCTTGTACTTAGCTAGACCATCATAGTTCCATATTTGCTACACTAGCAGCAACTCCCAAATGTTTCTCATTAATTCTCATCCCATCAAGAAGAACATTGACATCCATGATTCGATCTTTCATCCATTGAAATCAAGGCTGTTTCCATGGCTTTGCTCCTTTCCCACTTTATCCTCATCTCAATAATCCTACAAGGAAGGTCATGTTGAAGCAGCCCTGGGTCAGTTTTATGGCTCAGTATGGGTTTGAACCCGAATCTCCCAAATCCTAGTCCAGCATTCTAATACCACAAAGACTTTTATTAGTGTTTCTTCTCCAATTCATTCTTGAAGCTTTTAAGACTTAAGGTTTTAACTCCTCTCTTGACAGAATTACTCCAATCATTTGGTTCATTATAGAAATTAACCCTCTAAAAATCATGAATGTGCATAATTATTTCCATAGCAGTTCTTAGAAAGAGTACTGCAGGCTTGTTCATACACAGATATGAATGACAGCTGCAAGAAATAAGAAGTCTTCTTTCTCAATGAAGAACCAAATAGCAAATATCACATTTAGTACTTATATCAAAGAATCAAACACTTGGAAGAGACCTCGTGGGCCATCCAGTCCAACTCCCTGCCAAAAAGCAAGAAAATCGCATTCAAAGCACCCATGACAGATGGCCATCCAGCCTCTGCTTAAAAGCCTCCAAAGAAGGAGCCTCCACCACACTTTGGGGCAGAGAGTTCCACTGCTGAATAGCTCTCACAGTCAGGAAGTTCTTCTGAATGTTCAGGGGGAATTTTCTTTCCTGTAGTTTGAAGTCATTTTTCCACATCCTAGACTCCAGGGCAGCAGAAAACAAGCTTGCCCTCTCCTCCCTATGACTTCCCTTCACATATTTATATATGGCCATCATGTCTTCTCTCAGCCATCTCTTCTTCAGGCTAAACATGCCCCTCTCTATAAGCCACTCCTCATAGGACTTGTTCTCCAGACCCTTTACTCCATATTGAATGACCATTTTACTGTTGATCTGGACTGCTAGATCCTGTCCAGATAAATAATGAAGCATCAGCTATTAGCCAGACAAATTGCACATCTCTCATTTGGTTGCTGAATAGTCATGTTCAATTTTCTTTTCCCTTTTCAGTTGAAGTGGAATAATAGTGGTAAAACAGATCCAAGTCACTAGTAATCCATTTTGGTGTGCTGTCATGAACCAGCATAATTTTTATACAAAATAAGTAAAACAGTTAATTGAGCAATGAGAGACTTCAGAGAAATATTTATTTTATTTAGGACAGTCCTACACATTTGGAGGACACCAGGTTGTGGGAAGACCAAGTAATACATAAATTCAAGCCTTAGATATTCATTTATTTAGATATTATTTATTTAGAACTTTTATTTCCCATTCTTCTCTACCTCTGTGGAGGGACACAGAATGGCTAACAACAGCAAAAATTCAATGCTATTTTCAATGTTATTCAATAAATAACATTTTTAAAAACAACATAAATAATAAATAAGTTATAAAATACATATAAAAGACAGTTCACAGAGTTAAAAACATCATCCAACGCAATCCAAACGTTGTAGTCCAATAACTCTTAGTCTTTACCGGTTCAATCCATCAATGTGTGAATGCCTGATTCCAAAGCCAGGATTTCAGTTGCTTCCTGAGGGTCAGGAGGATGGGGGCAGACCTAACCTCATTAGGGAGAGAATTCCATAGCCAGGAGGCCACTACAGAGAAGGCCCTTCATATCCATTCTTTTCCTGCAAAGAAGGAAGAAGCAAAGTTTAGCCAGCTCCTCACTGCTGCTCCAAACAGTTTTATTATTATTATTATTTTGCTGCACAAGAAAAGTTGAGTTCCTGTGCCATCTGTCCTACAGGAAAATAGAAGAGCTATTCCTGATATGCCAGGAAGGGAGACCATTTGACACTGCAGCTGTTATGGGACTGCCATTTACATGAGAAATCATTATTTGCTTTGACAACAAGGTTTGATGGGAGCTGATCCAGAAACAACCTTATGGACCACTTCCTATATAGTATATAGTACAACCATTTAATGTTCACATAATAGGGCTTGTGCAACCCTGAATAGGATACAACCTCTAATAAATTATAACTACTTACATAATAGCATAATTAAGGTAATATTTTTAAAACCAAATGCATCTTGTGACCTAAATTCTCTTTTAGTTCTGACTAGAGTCCACCCATTGAATGAATAAGATCTTTCTGTGTGTTGTCTCACCATTCACCATGCCTGTTGGTGTCTCCAGCCTATCTTCTCTGAATGTCTTGTATTTTTTCACAGAAAACCTGAAAGATTTAGGCCAAGATTTCAACTTTCTTTAGAAAAATGTGTGACTATGGAAAGAACCAGTAAATGGTGTTACTTTATGCAAATTTCTAGTAGTTTTCCACAAAACAGTTGTATGGAACATCTAGCATTCCACAAGATTTTGGCAACACCTTCGATCACTCTTAGGCCCCATCTACATTGCCATATAAAATCCAGATTACCTGCTTTGAACTGGATCATATTATGTTGGCGAAGGCTTTCATGGCTGGAATCACTGGCTTGCTTTGAGTTTTCCGAGCTGTATGACCCTATTCCAGAAGTATTATCTCCTGAGGTTTTCCCCACATCTATGGCAGACATCCTCAAAGGTTGTGAGGTCTGTTGCCTAGTTTCCAGCAGACCTCATAACTTCTGAGGATACCTGGCATAGACGTGGGTGAAACATCAGGAGATAATGCTTCCGGAACATGGCCATACAGCCCAGAAAACTCACAGCAACCCGTGGATTATATTAGTTTATACTGCCATGCAATCCAATTCAAAGCAAATAATCTGTATTTTATGTGGTAGTGTAGATGGGCCTTAGTATAGACAATGAGTAGGGATGATAGAAGCTACAGTCAAACAACACATGGAATACCAAATATTCCCAATCTCCTGTAGAACATTGTCATATTTATGAGCTGTGCTTTTAAAAAATCACCACCTCGACAACAAGTCTTACCATCAAAATCCTTTGAGGTAAGATTAATAGATTTTTCCTCTTTCTTCATCCCCATTTAATGAAATCTTTGCCTGCATATTGGTTTTAGGGTAAAAGTAGACTCTGCTATCATTTGCCTCTTTAATTTATAATTAAGCAGACAGAAAGACAACAAGAAATAAAGACGTCCAAGTCAACCATTCCTTATTCAAACCTTAGAAGGAAAGGGAGGGGTGTATGAATAGCACTTTAGCTATTAGTGCGTCTATTCCTGCCATGACCATGGCTTCTGTCCATTGGTGGCTGTTGCCATAGTAACTAGCAATGTTCTGTTGCTGAATTTTCCATAAGGTATTGAGAGTGTTTTGGCATCATGAACCAGACAACTGCTGAAAGTATCCTCTCGTTGCAAGTAATGATGATATGATAATAAAAAGAAAGGACTGTCCTTCTTGATCAGCTGGCTCTATCATGAGACAGAGTCAGACAGGTGCCATGGTGCCAATGTCTATGTTCCACATTGCATTCTCTGCACACTAAGCTACCCTAATGCCTTCATGTGCTCATACAAATGTTAGCCTATTTCTAGAAACAAAGTGAGATTCACCAGCCAGACACCTTCTCTTTCGGTCCTGGGATGGAGGAAGACACCGTGTAGTTATTCACACCAAACAAGAAAGCATCTTGGATAGCCCTGCTGACACTGAAACAGTGGCATTCCCATGAGCTGTAGTGCCCCCAGCACTTAGTTTTTATTAGCCCCCATATTGGTGATTTTTCTTTAATCATATCTCGTAGGTACAAATAGAAAGAAAAACAGGCACTCTAGTCTCTGCATCTGATGAAGCAACTTAAATCTATGAAAGTTTATGCTATCAATTTTATTCTTTCTGTTAGTCTCAAAGGTGTTACAAGATTCAGATAAACATGGCTATGTCTCTTCCTTCTCTTCCTTCAGTCTGCTGCTGAATCCCGTTCTTGCTTCTCCTCCCTGGAGTTCACTTGGTTTTGCATATCAGTATTTTTACTCCGTCATAAATTCAGAGGTTGTAAGGAAGGGTAAAACCAATTACCAACAGAGTTCAGTTAAAAGAGCAAATAAACAGAATGAAACAAAACAAATTTGGGTGTGGGGAAAGAGGTTTTCATTTGTTTGGGATAGAGGTTTGGGGACGAGTGTATGGTCTGCTGTGTGTAAAATGCTATGTGCTGATTTTCTGAATGTTATGGAAAAAATTGAATAGAAAGCTTTGACTGAAAGTAGTGGAAAACAGGCAGAAATAGCAAGTCTATGTGTATTAAGTTATGTAAATTATAATAATTTGTACTCAATGTCAAAATTAACTGGTTGATTGACTAAGGTAGATAGGCATGTACACATCAAAATATTGTTACTTGATTATATCTGCCACGAGTTGCTTTTCTGTTATGTACCATAACCAAAATAAACAGTTTTGTTTTAAAAAAATCACACAAATCCAGCTATCCAGACCAGAGTGAATATCGGGGCTTGTGGGGTACATATTCAGAAGCTAGATTTTAAACCAAGTTTATGTGTGATGGCGCGTGTGGTGCCACATATATTTAGAACTGTTAGTTGCAGGATTTAAACTGCCATTTTATTCCTGTCTACCTTGTATATGTATAGTTAAATTTCATTGGTTATTATAGCTGTCAATTTATTGTTGTTGAGCACCAATTGGCTTGTTTCCCCAGTTCAGTTGTTTAGGCTCCGCCCCTTCCAACGGAGAAAGGGAAGGTATCTCTCTCACCTTTTTTACCTCAGAAAAAGACTCATTGGATGGACMTGTGCAAAAGCTTGGCRCAAAGCCCCTGYTCAAGGCATTTTTTACTACCGATTCTTAGGTTTTTACCCCTGAGTCTTATACTTTATGTTCAAACCCCCTGAACGACATTGTGAAGATCTCAGGCGCCTTCATTTCGGTTCTTTGGCACCATAGGAAGGTCTTGTCCTTCAACTTAGGCCACTGAACCGGGGTTGTGGTTTGCTCCGGCATTCACAGCCATTGAGAGAGAGGGAACAGGGAAAGCTTCRCAYCTTACAACTCCTAGGAGCCTGGACTTTAGAGTTTATAAAGTGTTTTTACCTGTTGAAACATCAAGTTTGTGCCTAAGAAAGTGAACTCATTGTCAACAATAAACACCATTTCAAGTTACTTGTTGTGTTCTGGTCCTTGGGAGTTCCAGTTTCCTTAAAGGAGGGCAAGAAGCAATCCCCTGGGGAAAGAAGTCACGTCCATGCCTCTTTCTCTATAGCCCCAGGCGCGACGGCACATTATGTATAAACTTTATAAATTTGAATACKAAACTTTGAATTTTATTAATGTGAATATAAAACTCCCAGGCAGATATCAAGGGATGTTAGCTTTCCTGTTGGAGATTCTGAAAGCTTTCCCATATTCCAGGAATGCCTGCTTATGAGGTGTTTAAAATAATGGCTGGGAAATTATGTTTTAATTGTGTATGTGTGTAGTTAAATGGCCTAATGAAGCAGCTGTCACATTTGGAGGAAAGTTTCTCTCTGCTTATAAATTAACCCTCCATTCGAGTCACCCCTGATCCACCTCCTTCTCGCCTAGAGAAATTTCAGAGATGTCACTTGCCAACTCAACATGCAAGGATTCCGTGACACATGCGAGCACAGCCTCTTTGTTCCCCACCCCCAGGGGAGCACAAAGACCTTCAAGCTGAAGTTGATGAATGCCACTGGAAACTGGAGATAAGCTCCACTGGGAAGTCAGCGTGCTCAGTCCTGGCACCTGAATAGCAATGCCTCTGTGGGGCGACCTATTTCTGCAAACTCCTGAGCTCTGGTGCCAGTCTTTGCAGCTTATATTTATGCAAAACCATTCGTGCAAGTTAATCATCCAGGCTCCTGTAGGGACACGAAGAGGAGTAAGCAATAGAGAAGGCCAAGTTACTCAGTGGGAATTTTAACATTTATCACTTTACTGTATAGACCACTGTATCTCATTTAGAATATTGCATATAACTCATTTACTAATCTTTAAGGAAAGCCTATAGACAATACTTCATCCATAACTACTGGGATGTTCCAGCAAGTATGGTATTTTAGCTAAATTAAAACAGATAAATAGGAATGAGCAAATGCTAGCTTTAATTGTTGTGAAGTCTAAAAAGGCAAGTGGCAATTAGCAAATAAAACAGAAATGAACAAGGATCAACAATGGCTCAGGTAAGAGGCTTACACATTGCATTAAAATTAATCAAGGATAAAGTATGCTGTTTTAATAGAGTGCATGGTTCTGAATTAGCTTTATGTACTTCTTGATTCATTAAAATAATTCACAAAAAGCTATATGGTTGGATGATAAATATTACATATATCCAGATAAAAAACAGAATACAAGAAAGACCTTTATGCGGATAGCCTTTTTACAACTGCCTGCATAAAGAGAAAGAGGCTTTTAGCAGATTGATGCTGCACTTTTTATTGATGTGTTTTAACTCTCTTGTATGGGGAATGGATGTTTTAATCCCTCAGTCACGTTTTCTCTCAGAATCCACACAAAAATAGATCGATACCTCTAGCATTTTGTAGCGTGATTATTTGAAGCATTGTAAATAGATCCAATTGTTAGTCTCCACTAGAGTAGCTCCTTTGAATTACCAGTAATTTAACTGACTAAAATAAGTCTACTCTAATTAGGACCAACAATTACACTTAAGTCAGAGTCTCCAAGCCTTCCTAAATGAGAGGCAGTGTGATTTAATGGTTTGAATGTTGAATTTGAACTTCTAGGAGACTATGGATAGTCAACCATGCTTAGCCATGGAGACTTGCTGCGTGACCTTGGGCTAGTCACACTCTCTTAGAGAAAGACAGTGGCAAACCTCTTAATAAATCTTGCTAAAATAAACCTAGGATAGTAAAAACTCCTCCAAGATTGAAGTCCTAGCTGTGTTAAAAGCACTAAACCTCTCTAATCAGCTCTCATTATTTCTATGGTCAGCCATCACCTGGAGTTCTGCATTCAGTTCTGGGTGTCTTAGAGGATATAAAGTTGGAGCAGTTTCACAAAAGGGCAACGATAAGAGAAATGGAGAACAAAACATATGTGGAAAAGTTGTGGGAGCTGGGCATGTTCAGTTTGGTGAAAGGTATGATATGAATGAACTCTTTAAATACTTCAAGAGGAGGAACTTCTTGACAATAAGAGGGGTTCGGCAATGGAACAAATTGTCAAGAGTTGTCGGGGTCTTCTTCTCTGAATGTCTTCAAAAAGAGGCTGGATGACCACCTACTGTAGATGCTGCATTGAGTAGGGTTGGACTTGATGGCTCATGAAACCATTTCCACGTCTTTGATTAGTCCTCCCACCAGTTGCTAAGTGCAAATGTTTTAAGTCAAGAGAAGGCGCACCATCACAGATCTTCCATTATCTCATGTGTTCAGGACACAAGCAAATGAACACAGCATAACACAAGGAAGGTATTCATACCATAGTCTCTCAACACTCCTATGCAATTAACCATATATTCATTTATCGCTGTAAAGTTTTCCTGGGCACTGTACTTAAAAACACCAGAGTATAAATTAAAAAAAAAAAAGATTAAGAAATCTAACTTTGGGGAGTGATGAAATTGAAGATGTACAATCCCAAACATTTGATGAAAGAAAAAGAACAAAATTGATTTTGGGAGCCTTGAAGGAGAACAAGTCCTTTTCCTTCGTATCTGGTATCATGACTAACAGACATATGCCTAAATAATGTATTCGTTTTAAAATTCTGAATTTTATTGCTATTACGTGCTGTTGGCTTCAATGTATAGTGACCTTAAGAATGAGAGACCTCCAAGAGTGAATAACAACCCTGACATGACTTAATTTATTGAACCAATCCATCTGTAATTCATCTTCCCCTTTTCCTTTCTAGCTTTCAGTGCATGAGTCTTGCAAGAAATATCTTTCCCTTCTACTCGGCAGTAACAGAATTTAAGAAATTTCCAATCTCCTTCTATTCCGACATAAGAGCAGAAGTATCCACTTTTATTTCCAACTAGCCAGTTTGTCGTGGTGTTCAAAGTGGAAACAATCTGCAGGCAGTTTTCTCTAAACAAACTAATATAAAACTGGAATTTACAATCCTGGCCTGTTTGCACAAGCTATGCTAAAATTAAGCTAGTTTGACCACAATGGAAAGCTACAGTTAGTATGAAAGCAGAAGAAAATGCTTTCAATCCAAATGAATTCATGCTGAAAGAAAGAGGACATCAGGCCTGCATACATAATATTAAACAATGGTGAAGCTTTAAATACTGTAAAAACAGGTCATCTCAACTAACATTAGACCTGACTTCTGTTTTTTTTTTACAACTATTTATGCATTTAAAAAGGACAGGACTGCATCAGCAAAGCAGATGATTAATGGGAACTTGTATAAGTATAGCACTTGAACACCAGTTAACACTGAGTATGAGTCAGACACTTTACTTTAAAGATGAAAAGCGTGATAGACAGTATTTCATTCCCCTTGCAACAGTGCCAACAAAAATCAAGCAGACACCTTTAAAATCACTTACAAAAGACTTTAGGGACATTTTGTAAGAAAACCTAATACAGGAAGATTTACTGTGTGCTGGAGACTGACATACAGGTTATCTTGTAAGATACACAAACCAACATTTGAAAAAGCCTAACAGCCTGAAAAGGAATAGAAAAGGACTAACAGCTAAATCCCTACACAGTAGAGTTTCTTGTTTGAAAAATTCAGCAGCATCCTGTACCCCAGATAAAGCACTAGAAGATAACAGGCAGTGAGCTTGCTGCAGGCTGTTTTATAGCATTTTCATTGCTCTGCAGTTATAACAGAAAGTCACTGTTTACCCTGAGAATGAAAAGAAAAAGAAATGAAAACATTTAATACAGCTTTTTAGTAACAACTTATAGGTAGGATACTGCTATTTAATAGACAGGATTTCCCCTTGCTTCACATCTGTGCCCCATAGAGATTTCACTACTCTGAAAAAAGGAAGGGGTGTTATCCATTGAGCTAGACAGAGGTGTGGTATAAGTGTAAAAGCAACAAAGAATTCAAGTACACTGAATGGACATGCTAAAAGTTCTACCAGGAAAGATCTGGTAAAAGAAAATGCTTTGAATACAAGCAAAACCTTGAAATTTATAATAAGTGCCAATGCTGAGTTGTATGTATATGTGAAGGACGTGGTGTAGCCTCATTTGGATTATCTCTCTATTCAGGCATCTTCTAGAAGCCGATGTTCAGTGTTCTGAGTATAAGACCATTCAAAATTATGACTTCTTCATTTATACAGCATGACACAAAAGATACTAAGATTTTTAAAAACCCCAATGTCTAAAATAAAATTATCCAGCAAATAATAATAATACTTTATTTATAACAGATCCCTTATGCATCTTTAGCAGCCACATTGTACAATCCTATATGTTTGTGAAGTATGAAGTAGTAATTCCATGCTACTTCTTCCCAGGTAAGTATATGTGATAACACACTCTCACTGAAGGATTTAAAAAACACTTTTGGATAATTTGACTCAATTTTGTGGATGTTCTAGATGTTGTCTTTGTTTCCTAGAGTATCTATTTTCCCCAAGAATGAAGTTTACTGACTTACTGAAGTTTATTTATTTATTTATGTCTGGCTCCAGGTAGGATTGATGAATTGGATGGGCTAAATACAAAGTTTTCACTAAATAATGATCCAATGAGGGAAAAGAGTTAAAAATATTTAAAAACCACCAGGCAGAGGATTATTCCCATTCAACCCACAAGAGCTCCCTCTGGTAGTTCTACTACTACAGGAGCACAGTCATCTGGCTCAGCCTCAAAGTCCCACTTGAATTTCTTGGTTAGATGAGCTTTAAAGCGCTCTGCCTTCTTTCTCAGAGTCCTGTCAACAGTTGGGATACAGATATAAGAGAAGAACACCTAGAAAAATATAAAACAAGTTATTAATAAAACAGTAAAACAGTGTCTCCTGTAGATGACTGATATGGAATTATATTTTTAATAGGGTGAATTTGACAACCTTTTTTTATTATGCACACTGAACTCGTTATTAATAGAACTGATTAATTATTTAAACTTGGTAATTCTGCATTGGATTTTTGTTGTGTCACACACAAACTTACTTATTTTTCACGCAAGCCTGTTTTTCTGGTTCTGGTTCCATGGCCAAAAGCACATTTATTTTTATTGCAAAACCGAAGATGTATAATCCCAAACATTTGATGGAAGAAAAAGAACAAAATTGATTTTGGGAGTCTTGAAGGAGAATAAGTCCTTTTCCTTCGCATCTAGTATCATGTCTAACAGACATATGCCTAAATAATGTATTCGTTTTAAAATTCTGAATTTTATTGCTATTATGTGCTGTTGGCTTCAACGTAAGGGAAAAATATACAAATACAAATATTTGGATAAAAAAATCTACAGACAGAGAAACAATTAAATGTGATTCATGGTTATGTACTTGACAGTCATTTTCCTTGTTCATCATACTGTGTAATTCAAGTTTCTATTAAATGTTTACTTTATAAAGAAATGCTAGCATCGGAAAAATCAAGGCTATAACTCTGTTTCACCTATTTCACCAGCACAGCAAGGTATCTAGGAAACTGATGCTGGAAAAAGTATGTTTTCTTTTCTTTCTGGCAACTGGGCAGGGTCAAAAATTCATGTATGTGAAGAATTTGGTGCTTGGAACACATGCTGGGCATTAATGCTACAAATAAATAAATAAAATAGGACTCAATTCAAATATTTTGTAATAATTAAAAATATTTTACCTTTTGTAGATAAAAATATGTGTTAAAAATGTGCAGTACCTATGAAATATTTGAAATTGCAAAGCTGTTCTATTTAATGTGTTCCTGTCTCACAGGCTTTTTTTACAGTCCTGTTGAGGCCAAATGGGCACATATTTATTCCTGCCTAATCTGCAATGCCTTCCATAACATTTAACTTTTATCTGTCATTCGTTCTACTTCTTATACAAAAAGGCCACTCTATGTTCATGCATGTGTACAAGCTTGCATTATTTCATCTCCAATCTGGCAACAGGATAACTACCAGCTTTCTTTGGCCAGAATTTCTAATTTCCTGGCACAAAATGCTTTCAGACCAAACTAAAGAACCCTTATCAATAAAAATGTTCAGTCTTAAAAGCGTTTCTTAATGTTTTGTAATTCCTGCAAGAGTACAAAATGATATACCTGCCACTCATGGTGGGAGATGGTCTTGAAAAGGCAAACAGTAGTAAAATACCTTTGGTCAAAAAGGTGAGGAATACAGTCTGAAATACAGCCATGTCTAAACTTTCACTTTACCAAATACATCTTTAACACTGCCCTCTGACAGTGCTAAGTGAAACCTTAAAGCAGCAGTGTGTGCGTGATAAGTGGAAGGAAGACATTTGGAATGTTCTATGTAAACATTACTTCGTAAAGGACTTTTTTCTTAATGTATGAATCACACCTCTCAGTCTTTAACAATACTAAAACCTACGGAAAAGGGTATATTCCTACATTAGGTGCCCTATGTCATCATCACAGCTCAGCAGAATTTATATACTGAAGGAAGCAGATTAAGACCACAATGATTGTGTAATAACAATGTGTATACAAAAATAGTACAAGACCAATCTGCCCCATGTTGCAGAATACTTGATGTAGGATTTATCCTATTTTGTTGGCCTAAAAGCACCACAAGCCAGGACATGCTACAAAATGGTGAATGGTTGGGATCACACAGTGAGTAGGGATCTAAAACTGGATTATAGTGGCCCTATACTGCCTTGTTCTGGAAATAGCAGTATTTTGTTAGGAGCATTTGCCTGGTTTAAAATGACCAAGATAGCCATACAGATCTGCAGATGTTGTCTTTTTTTAGCAGCTTTAACCAAGTCTTCATAAAAATACAGGCTAACATTTTCTTAGGTCTTTCAGATAAACAGATACAATTTTAGCTGTAAAATGGCTGTAGTATTATCAACTGCCACCTGCTGTCGACAACTCTTGTTTATATCTGTCATAAAGCAGTTAAGAGATGCCTCCTCTAGTTGCTGGTGAAAAAATTGCACCACTTCTGCTTCATTGCAGCACTGAAGATGAACAATCGGTAATTATTATATAGCCTGACTGGATTTGTTGACAAGATTGTTGTCAACAAGATTGTTGTGTCCAGAATGACAAACAGGAAGCAGCTGCATCATGTGGCTAGGATTCAAAAGGCCACATTCAATTTTGTGAGCATACATTCTCATTTGATTTCCTTTCCCATCCTAGTCCCTGCTCTCCTCAAAGGATGGTCTTAAATATCTGCAGACTCTCCGAAACAGGTCTGATTGAGCCACAAAGAAGTGCTGATTGGAAAACAATCATTGGGATGAATATGAAAATGCCTCTGGTCTGTTATATTAAAACTACATACATCCCAGAATTATCTGAAGTTTGCTTATCCATCAACATCTGACCGGAACATAAAAAAGGGCAGTACATGCCTACAAAGCAGTAACATATGCCTTATTTTATTTTTGCAGTGGGCAACAGTCTGATACCCATGACTAAAAGGCCTATGTCAGGACTAAACCAGAAAAGCAAAGACTGAAATTAAGCTGATCAAGGCAGCTGTGCAAATCTCCTTCACTGGAGATGTTTAAGTAAAGGCAAGGCAGGCATGTGAAAGAGATGCCTCAGACTTGAGGTTTTATTCACTTACTTAGATTAGATCCATCCAGACTATTAACATAATCAGGCAGGCTGGGAAAAATTACTGAAAGGGAAACTAATCACTAGTCAAATATAATAAATGTTAAACATTATAATATACAGAGTGACTACACATGTAACAGTAATTAAATAGATGTGGCCTGTCCCTCCACTGCTATAGTTTATGTTGAAGTATTTCTTATTGTACTGCACTGAGTATCATCTAGTTGTACAAGTCAGTGGTAGTAACAACTAGATGCTTTACTGAATTCTTTCAACAAGACTTGCTTTCATCACTATTTATATACTCAATGGAATTATAGCCATTTGCAAAACAACTCTGGAAATATTGTGTACTGCAACCCCTGGATTCAAATTATTGGTTCTTGCTTCAATTGCAAGATTTAGCAGAGAACTATATGAAGCCCAGAGAGTCTATTTTTCCTCAAAAATGCTTTACTTCAAAATAACTTCATGTTCCATATTCATACAAATAAATGACACAGCTGAGGTATCATATAGTGAAAGACTGTAATCCAAAAATATAGAAGCACATCTACACTTTTCAGCAAGGGATGGCAGTGCTAAATAAGGTTTACAACCCACCTACAGTGCTTCTAAATGTGCTGCTACTTCAAATAAAGATCAGCAATGTTTTTAATAAGAAGTTTCCTATATCAAAGAGGAAGCCTCAATATGGCCAGAGCAGGAACTAACTGCTCTCCATACTGCTAGTTCAAAGAGATGGCCCTTTGAACACTGGCTCAGTACTGAGTGCTGCTGCTTGAAAGAGACAACCGTAAACTGCAATCCTTGCCTATCACACATACTTAAGGAAATACAATATGCAAAGCAATTTCATTATGGTTTTCTCAGCCCCATGACAGCCAATAATGTCAAAGAAGCACATAAAATGCATAGGATAATGCCACAGGGTACAGTTCATCAAAGCCAATTATCAAAAAGCAAAGGGGATGAGGGAAATTACTCTGATCTTATTAGGGACAAACATATGATTGGTTTCACTCCTAGCTGTATCGAAACAGGAATACTATTTTGTTGAATGAGGGATTTTTGTTTGACATTTGCTTTTTAAATGTGTATATTAAGACTGTCTGATACCTGTTTATTTTTAGTCTCAATTTAATCTGGTATGGAGTTCTTTAAAAAAAATCTACACTGCTGCTCTCCACATATGCAATACTGAAATATCTCCTTTACCTGTAAGGTGCTGGTTAAAAAGTTGTCTTGGGAGACTATGTCTACGAAGAAGTCAGCAGGTATCTCACTGAGTTGATGGTAGAGGACAGAAATGAGATCGCCGAACATGGCTTGATGCTTCAAAATGGCATCTTCTGATCTGCATAACAGATTCAGGAGCTTTTTCCAGTGCTCAAATGCATCATATACATTCCCAATCAGGAAACAGATGAAAGCAAACTGCAGCTCTCCTAGGTACAATTCAAACAAGAAAATATATAGGAGGTGAGGGAGCAGGATGGGACAAAAAAACCCACAAATTTGCTTCAGTTGTGGTGTCACAACTAAAGGGCATGTTACTTTTCTTATTTACTGTATTTTTATAAAAGCAGTGTGGACCAAGAAGTAGAGGCAAAAAACTTCCACCTTATTATTCCTCCCTTGTTCAAACTGGAGAAAGAAAGGCAGTCCTCCCTTTTTCTGGCTGAAGCTACATTTAGCAGCAATGTGAAGGAACCTAAAGAACACAGCATATCAGGTGGAGAAGAAAATCAGCACTCATTTTAAAAAAGGACTTATTGTATAAGCCTCTCTGCAGAGAAATTGTGGTGCTCCTTTTTATTCTGCCCAGTTTACCTGTCCGAACACATCTATGAACCAAAATGGAGATTAAGATCTTTCAGGAGGCCCTGTTCCCGGTCCTGCTGCCATCACAGGTACAACTGGCAGGGACAAAAGAGAGGGCCTTCTCAGTGATTGCCCCTCAGCTATGGAACTCCCTCCATAGTGAGATTAGATCAGCCCCCTCTCTCCTGTCCTTCAGAAAGATGGTAAAAATCTAGCTGTGGGACCAAGTCTTTGGGACAGTGCAATAGAGCAACAACAGGAAACTTTACCCTGCTGACCACATCCTGTATGGCTGATCTGAGATTGTTTTAAACAATTGATTTTAAAGTGGAGAAAATTGATTTTAGTGTTTATGTATATTTATAGTTTATTTCACGTTCTGGCATTGAATGTTTTCCGTACAGATGTTGTGCTCCATCCTGAGTCCCTTTCAGGGTGAAAAGAGTGGAATATAAATGTTTTAAATAAATAAATAAATTTTCACAGTAAGCCCTTATTAAAAATGGCCATCACCATTCTACCCCACTTCAAGAGCCCAAAATGGGCTGCCTTTCTTTTCTTGGTTTGGGTAAAGGAAAAAGTAAATTAGGTTGGAGTGTCTCCCTTTTGTTATTGCCTTCACACTGGATTCCTATTTCAGCACTGATCCAAGTTTTTTGTAATTTTTCTACCTATACACAGATATATACAGTCCTTTCTTTAGAATAGCTTTATCTAGTTCTTTGATCCATGAAAATTCCATTGAACAATGAATTACACATTGTTTAAATCTATTAAAGCAGTGGTAAGGCTTGGCCACAAGGGGTCACCAATACTGCACAAGGTAAGTGTCTAAATTCCTTAATTCCTTTGCTGTCTTTATTTAAAACGTTTTAAATTGCTATTCCAGGTGAATCCAACCCCCAAAGTGTTGACAGAATAACACCATAAAACAATAAAAATAGTTAATTTAGAATTATTTAAATTAAGCACAACAGCAAAGCAGTAACAAAAAGTATAAAAGGTTTTTAAATATCAATTAGCAACAACGTGGATGACTACATTTTTAAGGTAAATTTAACAATAGGCGGTTGTGTGCACTTTCACAGATAGATTATTCCATAAGGATGCAACTACCACTAAGAAGGCTTTATCTAGATTACCTTCCATACTAAGTCACTTAATCAGTGGATATGTCAGTTGGGTCTAGACGTATTCAAATGGATGTAGACAGCGTTCATTAACCCTGGTCAAAGCTGTTTAAGGATTTAAACATGACATATTGTTCCATATGTTTTCGGTTCATTTAAACCATCTTACTGTTTTTAACCTGTTTTACTACTATTTGTAAGCCACTCAGAGATATCTTTATGTGGGCAGTGCATACACAGTTTAATAAATAAATATTAGTGTGAGGAACATGTGGCCCTCCAGATGTTGTTGGACTACAGCCCCTGATAAACCTTCCCATTATTGTTAATGGTGAGGGATCATAGGACCTTTAATTCAACTATGGAAGGGCTACATGTTCCCAACCCCTACATTTTCCCATATGCAAAACCAGGCAGTGCAATTAGCACTTCATCCAATCTTATGAAGCTATTAGGTAGGCTTTTACCAAGGAAAATGTGATTTGCAAAGCAAATGGGCTGCTTCTTAAGTTACCTCTGAAAGAAGATACACACAGTATGCACTGATATCAGAGCTCAAATACCAAAACTGAACAAAACAGCAAGTTGCTCCAGAACACAGAAAGTGTGGCTGCAGAGTGCACACCTATTTTGTGGCTCCAAGAGCACTCCAGGCTCTTCTTTGTTTCACAAAGTCCTTTAGGAGGCATGTGGTGAAATTTGAGTCCAAGGTGAGGGCTTTTTTTCTAGCAGCAAGTGATCTAAACATTGACTTCCAGATCACTTGCTGCCATTAAAAGATCTCCTGTGAGCCTAAAATGGCCTGGGCAGGGCCAGAAATTAGGTGACATTGGCCCAAATGACTCAGAGGGTAGAGGAGAAATGATTTTTTGTACAAGGTGAGTGAAGCAGACTGTGGTGCTTCAAGGTGTCTTTGGGGGGTCTACCCAATTCATAAACCTGCAAGAACACAATCTGGTTCTTGAAGCTACGTATCAATTCAAAACTGACATATACATTGCAGTTATTCTGAAACCACTGTAAAAAGCAATTAGCACGAAGGTTTGTTTAACTCACCAAGCACATCCTGGGAATTGCTGGCATACCGCTTATTGATCACAGTCTCTAAGGCATAGCTTAGGTCCATGCTATGCCTAGTAACTTCCTCAGGTGTAGCCCCTTCAGGGTACATTTGCTTGGGTATTTCTGTGAATCTGATCTCTGTACCAGGTTTCACCTGCATTTTGGGCAGCCGTGCCAGTCCTTCTGCATAACTTTTGCATTCTGTGTCATACCGGGGCAAGTTCTGTTCTACCCTGTCTTTAGTATACTTTCCAGACAGAACAGGTAGAACCTCTGAAAAAGCACATATTTGTCCATTTTCTGGCTGCAGTTTTTGCATCAAATCTTCAGTAATTAAATTTGTGAGGGAGATCCACTTTTTAAGAGTCTTATATGGGTAAGGACCCAGAAATTGGTCCATTTCCTGGAGATTGTCTCTCATTGCTTCAGTTTCATTTTCAGGCGCTGGGGTGAGATCCACCTCTTCTTTTACTCGGTCCCAACATAGCACTCGCAGATCACGCTGCTGCAAGTTCAAGAAGAAACCAGTGCGAGGACCACTTTCTTTCTTATTGTTTTGATCAACAGAGCTGTAGTGAATGAAATGAATACCTGGGGGTATCATCTTCACTCCACGGAACTTGGGGCCTGCTTGCCAACTGTTGTAGTCAATACCAAACTCTGTTCCCTCAGGCACATTTAAAATGATAACAGTGGCACCCTCAAAGAAGAGTCGTTGGGCTAAGTCTTGATCCATCTGCATTTCTGCCATCTCTTTTGTTCTCTTCTTTCTCTACAACTTCTTACAAGGCTACCAGAAGCAAATAAATTATATTTGAACATATTCATCCAGCATGGCACCTGACATGAACATAGTTAAAACAATAATGGAAATTATGTGCCCTAAGAGCACAACACTTAAACTCTTCAAATTGTGAGACACAGTGTATGCTTTAATTGATATGACCAATCCAAAAATTTTCCTGTCTGATTCAAGAATCAACACGTGACCTCATCTCTATATACTGAAACTGAATGGATTGGCAAATAAAACTCAGTTCTATAATAGTGTAGAACTATGTAGGTGGCAGGGAGGGAAAAACACATTTTCCTGTTTCTTTGCAAGGATAATTTTCAATTTTTCTACTGGAAAAAAATGAACACTTGAGGAACACATTAAAATGAATTAAATATAGTTTCCACTTGAATTAATGAAATGCTTTTTAACTCTAGGCTTTAATTACTCAAAATGCCAAAGTTTTTAAACAAAGGTTATATAAAAGACCATTTACACAATTAGCAGTAATTCCTGTACATTCATTAGTTATGTACAACACTCATATCCAGGATCCATTACTGCATTTAGAGGGTGCTGCTGTTTTCATGACACTGCTTCTGAAAATACATTACTGAACTCAATTTCTAACACTGAATTCTAACACTGAATCCTCAAGGAGCTGGGCATGTTTAGCCTGAAGAAGAGAAGGCTAAACCACAGCACACCACAACAACGTTTGTCACGCTGGCATTAAAACACACACACACACAGACACGACAAGCTCTGTTGAAAAGAGAAGAAACAGGTTAAAACGTAGTCATACAAAGATTCTCTAACTCTGGCCCTGCTTGTGTTTGGGGCTTCAGCTCCCAGCAGCCTCAGCTACTTTGCCCAATGGCCGAAGACTCTGGGAGCCAAAGTCCAAAACCCCTGGAGGGCCAGAGTTCGAGAACCCGTGGCAACCGGGCCGAAGGGATGGCGAGGGCGGAGAAAAAGAAAGGGAGACTCCTACCAAGCGCGGCAGAGCTCCCGCTGAGGCTCCAGACCGGCGAGTTCCGGAAACTACTTCTCAGCAACTTCCGCCAAGCGCCTGACGACAACAAAGGAGGATTGCGCAAACGACTTCCGGTCCTGCAGGAAACCTGACCGGCCTGCTGCCGACACCGAGTCACTTCCGGTCCCCCATAGAAAGTGGCCGGGGAAGTGCTATTGTGTCCTCTCCCAAGGGCAGTTTTGCAAGGAGGAGGAAATAGACAGCGTCGTTGTTTGGACCGTTTTTAATCTTCCCCCTCTTTTCTCCATTCTAGGACTAGGATTGTGTTTAGGGAAGACTTTATTTACAATTATGCCCAGGGATTCAGAATGAGAAATGGCACAAACCATGGCTGCATCTACTTCTACACCAGGCCTGGGCCAACTTGGGCCCTCCAAGTGTTTTGGACTTCAACTCCCATCATTCCTAACAGCCTCAGGCCCCTTCCTTTTCCCCCTCAGCCGCATCTACTTCTATACCAGGCCTGGGCCAACTTGGGCCTTCTCTCCAGGTGTTTTGGACTTCAACTCCCATCATTCCTAACAGCCTCAGGCCGCTTCCTTTTCCAAGCGGCTGAGGGGGAAAAGGAAAGGGCCTGAGGCTGTTAGGAATGGTGGGAGTTGAAGTCCAAAACACCTGGAGAGAAGGCCCAAGTTGGCCCAGGCCTATTCTACACCATAGACTTGATGAAGCCTGGCCCCATGTTAGCCGTTATTTATCGTGTCAGAAGTGAATTGGGAATACAGTTCTTATGTATGAAAAAACCACAAATGTAATAACTTGGCACTATACTAGATTTCCTTTGACCAGAAGCCTGCCACTTCCAAAGCCTCTGGCATCGCTGTAAGAAGGTCCTCCATTGTGCATGTGGCAGGGCTCAGGCTGCGTTGTAGTAACTGGTCTGCGGTTTGCTCTTCTCCGCACTTGCATGTCGTGGACTCCACTTTGTAGCCCCGCTTATTAAGATTAGCTCTGCATCTTGTAACTGTTCAGCACCTGTTCAGCACCTTCCAAACGTGTGTCCAGAAGGGAGTTTCTCATCTGGTATCAGCCACTGATTGAGGCTCCAGGTTTTAGCCTGCCACTTTTGGACTCCTGCTTGCTGAGGTGTTCTCTGTAGATCTTAGGAAGCTGTTTCTTGATTTAAGACGTTGGCATGCTGGCTAGTTTCCCATGGTGATTTGAACTGGCAAACTGTATATTTATGTATATTTTAATGTATATTTATCACTGTTTTTAATGTATGCTAATTGTATTTTGGCCACATCATGAGGAGACAGCAAAGCCTAGAGAAGACAATTATGCTGGGGAAAGTGAAAGGTAAAAGGAAGAGAGGCCGACCAAGGGCAAGATGGATGGATGGCATCCTTGAAGTGACTGGACTGACCTTGAAGGAGCTGGGGGTGGTGACGGCCGACAGGGAGCTCTGGCGTTGGCTGGTCCATGAGGTCACGAAGAGTCGAAGACGACTGAACGAATGAACAACAACAACAATTGTATTTTATGTTATGTCTGTCATTATGTTTGGTTTTCTATGTTCTGTATATATTGTTTTATATGTTTTGATGTTTTTTATATTTTAATGTTATGTTGTTTATTTTACTGCAATGTGTATTTTTATATTGCAGTTTGTTGTTCGGGCTTGGCCCCATGTAAGCCGCTCCGAGTCCCCGTTGGGGAGATGGTGGCGGGGTATAAATAAAGATTATTATTCTTATTCTTATTATTATTATGTTATTATATTGTATTGTTGAATGCTTTCATGGCCGAAATCACTGGGTTGTTGTAGGTTTTTTGGGGCTATATGGCCATGTTCTAGAGCAGTGGTTCTCAACCTGTGGGTCCCCAGGTGTTTTGGCCTACAACTCCCGGAAATCCCAGCTAGTTTACCAGCTGTTAGGTAGCATCCTACCTCTGAGGATGCTTGCCATAGATGCAGGCAAAACGTCAGGAGAGAATGCCTCTAGAACATGGCCATATAGTCCGAAAAAACCTACAACCCTTATTATATTGTGTTGGCATCGAATAGTTGCCTGTTGGAAGCCGTACTGAGTCCTTTGGAGGTTAAGAAGGACGGGGTATAAATGTTCTAAATAAATAAATAAATATCCAAACGGAGGATAGGCCGGAGATGTCAATACCTTGATACTTTCATTACTGACTGCTGCTTCCCAGTGGATGTTAGGTGGTGCAATACCGGCTAAACATTATAATTTCTCCAGTATAATTTCTCTTGCAGTTGCAGTTAGCTGCTATAACTTGGATTTAGCCATTATGACTCAATGCTATAAAATCGTGAGAGTTATGGTTTTACAATGTCTTTGGCCTCTGCCCAAGAGTGCGGGTGCCTCACCAAACTACAAATTCCAGGGTTCCATAGCATTGAGCCATGGCAGCTGAAGTGATGTCAAACTGCATTAACAGTACTGTGTAGATACACCCCATGAGAAAGAGTGGTTTCTGAGTGGGGTAAAATAAACAGGCCTGTGCATGAGGTTTATCTGTGCCGATAAATGTTTTTTTCTCTATGTGCTACAAGGCATTCAGATCCATTTTAGTAGCTATAAATATGCAACTGTACAGGGCAGATAAATTCATTGAGAGTATTACTGTTTATTACTTCTGTTCTCCGACTAGGTTCCGTCTCCATTTTTGTTGTTATACAGACCTCTGCTTAGAAGCCCTAGTCTTTCTCTGAAGCTTATATGAGATCCCATGATTAAAAGGTAAATAACAGCACTTCAAGTGATCCCCTATGCTTCCCTGGAGAAGTACAACAGGCTTAGCTCACACCTTGAGCCCAAGATATTATGTTCTGGTTCTCCTCCAGCAGACAAGGGTTTGTAAGCCTGGTTCCTGCAAGGAGAAATTTATCCTGCAGGAAACCTTGGACTTTTCTTCGTGAGTTTTCTCACACCAGTACAAATGTTTGCATGTATTTCTTCTGTCCATAAGTTCAGATCTCTCTCACACACTTTCTCTTTAAAATATTTTTCTACAGAATGTAATCTAAGTAAAGCTAAACTGAGGCCTTTTCTCAAAAGACCACATTATGTACAATGGTTTGTCATGAGGGTTGCATGGTAGTAGGAATGTGAAGCAATCTCAGTATGGCCAATATTTAAGTCAAGATGGTTGGTCTTAGCGTGGTGGGACAGTACATTTGGTATTTTCCAGCCCTCTTGGAAAGTGGTATCTTGCTTTCAAGGTACAAAATGTTTTGTTCAATTTGTGCAAAATACACTTTTGTGCAAAGCAGTTCTTTGTCTGCACAAAACTAGTAGTTCTTTACCTTTGTGAAACTAGATACAAATCCTTAGCAAGCATAACAGGATAAACATTTTGATCATGGAAACACAAAAAAATCCATCAAATGCACATATTTCTTGAATTTTTAGGCTGGTGTGTTTCTACTTTCACTTACCTGTCTTTTTTCTTGTAGAATCTGGTTATTGTAGCCATCCTATTTTCTATCTATCTATCTATCTATCTATCTATCTATCTATCTACCTACCTACCTATCTTTTTATCTATCCATCCACCTATCTATCTGTCTACAGTATCTTTGTGAGCCTCAGTCATAGTATGAATGCAAGTTAACAAACATTTATAAATAATTGCCAATCTGTTATTTTCAAGGATTGCAAGTAGAATTCCAAGAACATGCCATTTTTGCTTCATATGATTGAACACAGAGAACATGACAGTTTGGTTGAAAAAGAAGCATTGAATCAGGAAAACATTCGAGAACGTATCAGGCAAAGGAAAGCTTTTAAAACCTCATCCTGTATCTTCTTTGCGATGGGATATTATGGTTTCTTTATATACTCATTTGACTTCAGTGAACCTCTCATCTCAGAAAATGCATTTAGAATTGCAAATCCAAGGCCTGTAAGCCGAATCCACCCCACCATATCACTTTATGTGGCCCATTAAACTTTCAGTGCTAGGCAACATAGTTACATTTACACAGTCTTACAATTTATACAGCAAACAGCCCTTTGAAGGCAATCCTAAGGCTGATGTGGTCTTCAGTGAAAATGAGTTTGACACCCCTACTCTTGGGTATAGAAACATCCAGCAATAGAATGAAAAGATGCAAGTAACAGACAGAAGAAGAAAGCATTCTATATAAATCTTGTGATAAATATGCTGTGCTGGTAACTGATGTTTAAGTTCAGAATTTTAAAAATTTCCCATTCCAGATTTGGCTGCAGAAGACCAAATTTTAAGCTGGGAGGTGTACAGAAATAACAAGATTCATGTCTATTTTCTAGAAAAAGAGAGAAGGGGTGGAGAGGAGAAACAAGATATATAGTAACCTTAAGATTTATTGGTTTTCTTTTCATTTAGTCTATACTGAAGAAATGGTTTTAAAGCCAGGAAAGCTCATGCTAAAATAAAGACCAGTTAACATTAAAGGTGCTGCCACATTACTCTTCCATACCATCTGCAAGAGACTAACAGGACTACTTTGAAACCCCTCTCTTGACAGATGCATCTGCTCTTGTGTCACATAGGTAAGATTTTGTGGAAAGTCAAACTCAAGAAGACAACGTTCCGATAGCATATTCAGAAGCAGCTACACAGAGCACTGATTAGCTGAATGCCTATTATACCACAACACACAATCCCCACAGCAGTTGTTCCATTAAAAAAAACAGGTTTTTTAAACTATCAGGTAATCTATTGTTTAAGCATGTAATTGTCTGATGACTGTTTAAAAAAGAGCAGAAAAAGAGGGCATGGTGCAGAGGTCAGCCTGGTGAAGAAATGCAAATTTGTTGTTGAGTCAAATGTATACAGTATATTTTTTGAAGATCAAAAACAAAGGGAAGCCAGGATCACTCTACAAGTGCAACCTTTCCCATTAATTCCTGCTTTTATGTATGCCTTTATTTTCCCCAGATTTTTCTTTTTTAGTTGTAGGCTTGGCAAAACAGTCTCTACTTAAAAACCCTGAGGTATAACTTTGCCAGCTACATACTCAACTCTCCGATGAGGAAGGAATCAGAATGGCAGGATTTTGTTGATGTATCTGTACTGGCATCTAGAAATAGGACAAACAAATGGAAATGACAGTGGAAGATTGATCAAGAGCAGTTGAGGACAAAAGGATAATGATGGAGAAAAAAAATGAGTTCTGAAATGAGTGCTAAAAAAGCCATGGACTTAATACATGAATACAGACAAATAGGGCAGGACAAAGCTTTCCTACAGTGACTTAGAATCTGGATGCCTGTCATTACTATCCCTATAGCTCTTTACAGGTCTACATCCATTTACACGGAGTCATCTTCTATTTAGATGTTGATGACAGACATCTGGATTCTAACTGTGATAACACTCATATCTGCATGTAAGGTACTGATTGTCAGGTCCTTAGATTCCACTGCCCTCCTTCCTAAGAGAAAAGTCAGTGAAAGCCACAAAGTGGTTAAGCATCAAACACATTTATTTCACTTTTATTGAATACAAGAACAGTGAGCACACACGCATACACCACCAAGCACTGAAAGAGGGATATGATTGAAAGGGGTGGGGAACAAAAATAGGAACGAGGAGGGGGAAGAGGACAGAGGAATTAGTGAAGGAATGACAGAGCATTGCAGTAGGTTGGTAAGGTGCTTCTCAAATAATAATAAGAAAAGAAATATGAATTATTTATTCATGCAGTTGCAGGCCAGTTTTTGGAATCAACTTGCAGGATTTGTTGCAAACAAGCAGTGGCATCTCCCACCCCCATTTAAGAAGAAAGGTTTCCCCAAAAGGAAGAGAAAAAGAGTGACCAACTGTATCAGATGGTGGCAACAGTGATGATCCAAATGAGAAGAAACCATGACTTTAAAAATTGTGCATGGCTTCAACACTACCACAAATCATAAATATATATATTTGTATATTTTTATATAGGTATCTATATATAAGCCACATCTTTCTAGGTGAACAAAAACTAGTTTTTGTTAATGACTACCCACCAGAAAAGCTGTGGAAGAAATCCAAAAAAGCAAGTCTATCTTAGCTTTCCTTTGCTTGCCCAAAGTTGGATTACAAACTTGCGCACGTTCACCTCCACAGATTTTAGTGTTATGCTCACCTAAATGTATGCCAGCACAAGTGGTTATCACACTTTCAATTTAGCTGCTCAAGAAAGACTTCTGATCCAATTTTATGTTGAAATCCAAATTGAAAATCCAAGCTTGGGAAGGGATATAATATTGTCAGCCACAATACCTATCATAATGATGTCCTCCAAATCCTTATGGATTTTTTAATGGAAAAGGTTTTATTTTCATCCTTAAATAATGATTTAGGGTTCACATGTATATGTTCTGTACCTTTGCTTTTTGGTTTTGGGACATTACATGCTTCTGAAAAGCAGGAGGAGATGTGGAAAATGAATAATAAATCTGATAAAATTTGGGAAGAGAAGCATGAACTGGAAATTACTCCTATAGCATAAGATTGTTTTATGCTTTCAGTGCTTACTGAGGACATGCCTGCATGCCAGAAGCAGATCCAGTTTTAGGAAGCAATACTAGTGGAGAACTGGAAAGACGAATTATCAAGTCCTTCATACAGTGGCAAACTGCTTAGTAAATGGGATATATTCATTGCAATGACTGTGTTCAAGCAGATCTGTAGATTCCAATGACAGGCACTAGTTGGATGCCTTTCTTGAAGTATTGCATGTGTTGAAGAACGGTGGCAAAGGCAAGTATGACATAGGGTTTGTTGGCCCTTCTGTAGCATCTAGAGTCACTTTGTTGTCCCACTTGAGAACAGGTTCATTGGGTTTTATCCTCTGTATATTCTACAATTGCTCTAACATCTGTTGAATGATGGCAATTCATGAAAAGCAACAAAGGGAAACTTTCAAATTCTGGGTTCTATCAGACGTTAACACCTTTCTTCTTTGTAAGGATTATATACCCTGCTGGTATTCACTATTCTGTCCTTCCGAACTTCACACCTTGTTGGAATCTGGATGGATACACTTTCAAGAAACCATGAGTCACTTGACCATTAATTTTACTTTATGTATATATATAGAAAGATATAGAAGGGTCATACTTAGAGGGAAATAGTGCTGTTCATCTTGAATCCCCACTTTTCTAGAATCTAACAGCAACCTGGCAAAATGCAGTCAATCTAACATGCACACAGCAAGACACCCGGTGGACCACCTTGTTCAGTGTAGACACATCTTTTAGAGAACTACCACACCCATTTATGATACAATACTAAAATGGATTATTGAAGTTTCTGGGAAGCCTATTCATTTTGGGACTGAATTTTGATATTCTGAAGAACCAACTCACGGGACCTAATAATTTTACTGCAGCCAAAACCTTATCTCTGAGAGATCAAGCATTTCTAGATACTGAAAGGCTGTGAATCATGAAACAATCTCATCTGTTTTCTCCAGGGTGACCATAGTTTTCTGAGCTAGAAGATGAAGGAAAAATGATTAAATGGCACATTGTAGTGACTAACTGTGGGCTGCAGTAACACTGATCCACTCTGTCTTCCTTGACTCCCTCCATGTGTTGACAAATGCTGTAATATCATCTACCAACCAATTATGAACACTGTTTTGTCACTATGCCAGTCCTTTTTCCAACACAGTGGGTCGGGTGAGTGACAAATACAACCCCTAAAGGAAGTTAGTGATTTTTCCTTACTCTGTTTTCACAAGATATTGACATGATCTAAGAGTCTCTTAATACATTAACCACAGTCAAATAATTATAATGTAAAAATGTCATTGTCATACTTATCAGCACTGTTTAATTTGTTTTAATATCATTCCCCACCCACCCCAGTTATATATAATATACATAACTTAAAAGCACATCCATATGGAACCTCTACAGGCTGCATTTTGATCAATGAGAAATCACAGACGTATCATTTTGCTTTAAGTGAAATCCAGCCATCATTATCTTCAGCAGAAAAAGGGACTGGATGAAGTAAGAGGGGAGAAGGTTAAGAAAAAGGAAAGACAGATTAGGAGAACAACAGAACAAAAAAGATGAAGAAACAGAAGTAGCACTGGGTGAAGAAAAAGGGTGATCACCACACATCCCTAACCAGAAAATAATTAAACAAGAATTATACAGGTGAATGGTTTTTGATTCTTTCTTACGCAGGGAATCATTTTTGTATTTCTGCTCATTTTCTGCTTGTTGGTTTCTTGCTTTGTTGCAAAGCATTTTTTGCTTTTCCATTCAGTGTGCAACAAATGAGTTATGTTTCCTTTAAATGTAACATGCAGAACTGTGTGTTTTGTTTTGTTTTGTTTTGTTAATAATATTATCACCATGGGATCTGAATTTTTCTTTTAGATCAGTCCAGTCAATTCTTCACTTTATTTGAAGAGGTGGTTGGTTTTGTTTGTTGCTAACGTTGCTGTTTATAATTCATCTCCAGCATATAGCAGCAGTGCAAGGATGCATTTTGTTTCCTGTATATATAATATATAATATATTTGCTATTCCTTTTTATTTTATTTTAATTTTTTTTGTCTCTCAACATTATTCTGGCAGCCAGGACGTTCTATGTCTCATTGAGGAATCCAGCATAAAGGCCTTCTTTACTCCAATGTTAAAATAGAGATGTCAACTTCTAGAAACACGAAGGTCAAGATTCCTGCACAAGTGTATAAAAATAAGTAAATCAGTAAATGCAATCTCTTTTTAAAATCTATGGCAATACAAATGATTTGCATGTCAATTTTATAGGGCACCTGTATTGCAATAGTATAAGCAGATATGATATGAATAAATGCAGTTAAATTAACACTGTCAGTAGTGCAAGTGAGGCAAAATACTATATATTTTAGGGGATTCTAGATAGTGGTCTAGGGTGCACTCTCCAATATTGCCTAACATTATCCATGACTATTTGCTGTAGCCCTTTGCTCTGTGTGATGCTGTGTAACAAATGTCTAATATTTACATATTACAATTTCAGTACTGCAAAAATTCATGGGGATTTGAGTTTTGAGTAAGAAAGCAGCTAGTAAAACCAGCTGTAAAATCGTGTGACTCTTTAACATTGACTCTTTGTTAATGAATAACTTGGGATCTGAATTCTGGAATTAAGTTGATGTCAATGTACTTCCAGTTTAGGCCAACTTCTTTAGTTACAAATATAATTCAGTTAAATTGACCTTTTTCACTGGGAAGTTTTTAATTTTATTGACAAATCTAATTGATTTGAATTAATTAGTTCCTATCATTAATTGAACTCAGCTACATTATGTTGTTTCACTTGTGAATCTTTCAGTGTGTCTTCTTCCATCTATACCTACCTGAGGCTTCTTGTCCCTTTCCTCTGGAGATGGATCTGTTTCTCTATATACTACAGCTTTGGTTACCAGCATGTCAGGGTGCTGCAGTTTTGCCTCCTTGATTGCCAGAGCCAAGGCCTATGGAAAGAAAACATATTAGGCTGAATAATAGCTTACTTAAGCATATAATGCAAGAGCCTGTGGAAATAATAAAACATAATTTTATTGAGGTCACATTCATGGTTAGAGAAAGTTTACTCTTGCAAAAGATTTTCCATTTATGAATAGACCTGTCAAAACTGGTTGTTATATATCTCCATGTGTAAATACATCACAGTGGATAATATAAATATTGCCAGCTTGAAGCCCAATGTTTACAAACCTCTTTTTTCTTGAGTTATTTTGACAGCATGTTGACATATTGTAAGGGCAATCAGTGCTAGGAGTCTATTACATAACAATACAAATTTGGATGTCCCTTATCTCAACCAGAATCTGTCTCTGTATATAGATAACTTTCTAAATTTTTCAATGGCTACAAAGATTGAAATAATCTTAAGAATGTCCTAAAAGTTCTGGCAGCATCATATGGACTAAAATTTTTACCTGGTCTTGGTCCACATCTTCATCTCCGGTTATGATGATTCGCTTTTCTATTCTGGTTTCTGAAAAGCCTCCTTTCACAGTCTGGAACAAAGAAAGTACCATGGTTTCAGTATATAGGACTTCCAATGTGGAAGTTATCTTTTGAATCATTGAGCCACAGAAACTCTGTGAGGTTTATCACACCGATTTCTTAAAAACAAACACCCACACCCATACCAAATAGAAACTGCTCAATATGATATTAGTTTGTCTATTTTGCAACTATACACACCATACATAATTAATAGGTCAGCTTGGCCATGGTTCTTATTCTTGTGTAGAATGCTTTCAAGCCATCTTGCCTCATCATTCACATTAAATGGTCTTCATTAGCACGCACTCCTTAAATTGTGGAAGTGTCTAACTATGCTATGTCTGTCCAGATTTTACCTTGGTTACATGGGTAGTTGTGGAAGTGGAGAGGGTTTCTGCGGTGGCACCAAAAAGGCTTGTGAAGGCTTCTTTCCCAACAGCACTGCTGGCAATCTACAAAGATATGAAAAATATCTTCTAGGCTGAGAGACCATTAGTTTCTCTAAAACATGGTTCCTGAAAAATGGCTTATCAAATCAAAGTTATTTTGACCCTGATAGGCAGTCCTATTTGTGACAGTTTGATGGGAAGGTATTTACTCCTTACCAAGGAAGGTCATAGTCTAGTAAAAGCAAGTGCTTTGCACTTTTAGAAGGTTCTAGATAAAATCCCTTATTTGGCTGAACTGATCTCCCATGTAACAGAGCTAGGAAAAGGGGCTTTAGAAGGATATACAATACTAGTCAATGGAAAAGAAGACCACTGACTGCTGTGCAGGACAAGAGAAGCCTAGGCAAAGGACTCCCTACATTTAGGTAAGTATAGAGATAAAATGATCCCTCCTAATTCTCCATCCTCAGGTGGCCTGGAGCTTAATCTCATTCTTCCTCCTCCTATTGGTTTGCTTTTATTCAAAATATCTGACTGTTGTGGTTATTTCATAGTGGAGCCAGATTTGCCACTGAGTCTGCAAGTTCTTCTAGCTTTCTATAAGGCCTGGCAAGACAAGCTGAGCTGGACTTTTCTAGGTAAAACATTCCACAATGTTGGGACCATAATAAAGAAATGTTTGCATTATTATGTCTCAGCAGGTGAAATAAGAGCTCATTCTCCATGTCTATGCAACTGTACAGTGAAGATAAAGAATGAGAATGAGAAGATGGTTATCCTACATTAGCTTCTTGTTTTGTTGTTTTCTGCAGGAGACAGTTAAGTGCAGAAGAAACTATGCTGGTCAGCCATAGCTAACCGAAATGAGACATTTACTAACAAATAGCCAAGAAGATAAGAACTCCAATCTAGCTTTAGTCAGATAAATTCTAGCAACATATGAGTAGCTAACAGGCCCAGATGTATGAATCTACTCACAGGAGAAATGGAACGAAGTTCTGTTGTTCCCTTCCCAGGCTTGCTGCTGTGATCCTTCAAAAACACAATGTTTGCATGGGTATATGGGGGCAACAAAGAAAGACAGACTGGTATTTTAACACATTCAATCTTCTAATTCTGTCATACATAGGCAATACTCCTTCTCAAATAATGTATTCACTCTGGAATTCAAGCGGTATGGAAGATTCTCCGTGGAGGCTAGTGACCCCATTGGGAAATCTACTCTGTGTTTTATTCCAGACTTAAGGGTTATCTGAGATGCTGAATGTTGTCCTCGAAACATTTTAGCATCTTGGATAACTCTTTAAAATTTGAATGAAGATCATACAGTATCCTGGAGACTGAGAATAAAAGCTCGTGCTGTCAATGTCAACTTAATTTTCTCAGTTAATCTCTAAAATATTAAAGCATTCCAGACTAACATTGCCATATATTTGAATTCCCCTTAAAATTCATACTGGAACTAGAACTGATCCACTGCTCTACTGATATTGGAGGCAGCAGCCTTCATAGAGTATTTTCATACTGTGACATACAGGGTTTGCATAGGTAGCATCGGCAATCTACTAATGAAAAGGTCACAATTTACCTATTTCTTCATGGTGGGGATTGCCGAAGAAGGAATTCTTCAGCAATCCCCACTATGAAAGAATAGATAAAATGGTCTAATAAGTGTGGGAGGTTCATATTCAGGACCCACAAATCAGTAGATTACCTCTTGAATACATTAATTGTTTTCTCCAGTTTTAATGGAATACTTTTCTTTCCCTTCCCACTGGCATAAATAAAACTTTTTCGTAAATGGCCAACAGAAGCAGCACAAGAGTAAAGATCCATAATATGAAAATAAGACATTCCTCACTTGTTACTCTGCCTGCCCCCCCCCCAACATAAATACAGATCTATGTGGAAGGTTTTCATTAGATATCTGCCACCTCCCACCCTCTCTGTGTATGAATTTGTCATTACTTGCTTAGTAATAGATGTGTACAGGAAAAATAGTCTATGAATTTGCTAGGTTCTACAATCAATTCTGTGCAACCCTTGGAAGTTACCATAGAGTTGTACTGTTGAACCTAGCTAATTCCCAGAGAGAATATCTTTTTGAAGAATCTAGCTTCTCTAGCACAATTCTATGGTATGCCAGGATTGGAAGTTAGGTAATTTCATAGTGTTTCACCATATGCATTTTGCAGAAACTGGACTGCCATTTTGGGATACTGCAGTCCAGGCAGAAACTTATTCTCTGGAGATACAGAGGTCTTACTGTATAGTTGTTTCCTCACTGCTTATATTCTTACCATATTATAATTACTTACACATGGCTAAATGATTCTTACTCCTATTATTTTACTACCATATATGTTGAATTTTTCACTGTTTTGCAATCATTGATGTTTACTATTTCAGCAATCTTTTCAATACATTTTAAATGCCATTTATTGAGTGCAGTTATCATTCAGTGATCACACTCCATAAAGCACAATGGATTCTTTTAAAAAGCATGTTTTTCATAGGTTACTTACTGAGGTCGTTGATATGGTTTCTGTGCTGACGATGTGGGAAGTCGTTATTGTGTCTTTTCCATTTGTAGTGGTGCCATCAACCTGAAGAAGGGGGAATGGGGATGAAGCTATAGGTCTTTGAAAATCTAATGTAGATTCTATTTTTGGTGAATATTTATATTTGAGTTCTTCGCCAAAATTGATGTAATTGTTTGGTGATTTGAAATTATAAGAATGAAGTGCACTGTTTTAAATGCACAAATTCATGCAACAGAATTATCAATGAAACATCTTTAATCATGACAGTAGAATGAAGGATGTATCCACCTAGTTTGAACACAATATCTACCACTTCAGGAAAAGTCAGAGTCACCCTCCAGGGCAGATGCAATTTTGAGTGTTGCTTTTCCAACAGGGCTATATAGCAGGCTCTTGTTTTATGTTGCATCATTGCAATGCAAGATAAGCAGGGGAATGCAAGAAGATAAATTAACATTCCAAAGTTACCTGTGTAATTTCTGTTGCAGTGATTCTTTGCTGCACAGAGGTGTCACCTTCTGCTTTTTTCACACTGTCTGTTTTTACAGTTGGAGACTACCAAAGGAACAAAAGAATTTAGCAATAATCCAATCTTCATTTAACAGCACAAAATTCCCACTGTAGGATGTCAGAATTGATGTTATTTTAGCTATATAATCCTGGCTTCGCTTGAGCTCAGAAAGTCATCTATTCAAAGGGCAGGTGTGTTTTTAAACACCAGAGACAACTGACTAAAACGCAAGCCATACCAATGGAGTAAGGAAGTAATTCCAGTAAAGATAAGAAAATTTGAAAAGGGCATTAACATTCAAACAGGTAAAGTGAAACAGGAATTCTAGTGTCTTATAGCAAGGGGCATTTGGGACAAGAATTCAATATCTTGTGTTTTATTGAAAACCCTTGCAAATTCTATTGAAATTATTTATGAAGTTATTTAGTATTTATGGGTGGGCTGTTCTTGCATATTTACATTTGGCTTTTCTCCAGCATTTTCACTTTTTCCACTGTTTTTCAGTCAGTCTGTGAACTTTTGAACTAACTACTCCTATAACAATATCACTTTCTGACTAAAGAGAATCAGAATATGTTTGTTTTTTTTACTGAAATAGCATCTTAGAGGGTGCTCATTTCATGAAGTTCAGTTTCTTCAATGCATATGTTATTTTGAATTCATGCAACACAGAGGGATGGACTTACACCATTGAATTGATAGTGTAACAGCCAGGCGAATACAGTTGGTTAAGACATGATGGTGACCTCACCGTTAGAAGAGACAGATTTTTTAAAAAACAAAACAGCCATGCATTTTGATATCAAAAACAACCATGCAGACAAATTGACAACATTTTATGAAGGTACATATAACACTTTAGAAGGTGGGTGGTTTTTTTGTTTGAAAAAATAGAATGGTCATCTAAATATGTGAATTGGACAGTCCATAAAGCAATGCAAGTGCCAAAGCAGACAACACTTCAAAAGAAGACATTTAGACACATCTGTGTATTATGGCTCCCTTTTGTACCTCTTCTGGGATTACTGGGGGAAACTTATCACCATCCTTGGCATCATCTTCCTGCCTGAAAGCTGGTTTGTCAGATTCCTGAGAAGAAATCTGACCTTCTTCATCTCCCTCGCACTTTTCCTTGTCAAGCTCAGGCAAACTCCGGGAGAAGTCTTCAAAGGCTGCACTGTGATAGTCACCAATGACTGTGAAGTCCACCTCAGCTTCAAGGCTGGAAGTTGAGCTGACAGTGATACTTGAGCATTTGCGCTCGATGGCCAAATGGTTGTCCTTCAGGAAGACTGAGTCTCTTTCCTGGTCTTGCTCTTCATCCCCAGTGTCACTTTCAGGAGCCCTGTGCCGAGGCGGCTTAGCTTTCTCCTCTGTGCCCTCCCTCAGTCCCGCTCTCTGAATGAGACAAAAGGGAGGAAAGAAGCTGAGGCTGTAAGTGGTGAATGATAGGTCAGAACCATCAGGACCCAAGGAGAGAGGGAAGAGGAAGCATCATAAAACAGGGGGCAATCTAAAACATCCCAAACATGACCACCAATTTTTTTCTCACAGCAAAGTCTCTGCAAGGAGGCAAGAAGGGAAAAGCTTTCAGATTTTATTTGCAAAACTGCAAAGAGAAAATAAAACCACAATATCAGAAGCCAAAGAGATGATTGTATTGACAGGTATTTCTACCAAAAGTTGATATGTGCAAAAAGAGGAAAGGCTGTAAGACATTACAAAGGGATCTCAGATTCTGACTGTCAGAAGGGAAGAAAGAAATACAGAAAAAGGAAAGGCAAGGGAGGTAAAGAACAGAAAGAAGTCTGGGAGAAGATAAAGGCTAAATCCAAAGAGCTGCACATATTGCAGGAAAAGCAAGAATGATTGTCAATTTCACTGAGATAAAGTCATTAGGTATATTCTGTGTTGTTCTTATCTCACTTCAGTCTTGAAAAGTGTGCCAAGAACAGACAATGCTATTCTGGGAAGACATAGCATTTATATGAAAGTAATTGTGCTGTGAGCGCTCGCAACTCTCAAGTCAGTATTCCATCAGAGAAAGGTAATAATGTTCTCCTACTATATCTTTAATCAGTGTAATTGACAAGAAACTCAGAACAAAGGAACATTTTTCACCTAGTTTGTCTTGGAGCAACACATACCTCTCAACTGCATCAGAGTGAAAATTTCACCACCATTGACTTGTATGCTATTCTTTCAAAACATCTCAAATTACTCATGCAGTTTACATCTCTTGGGGTCTGAATGAAAAGTTAGTAAAGTCATTGAAGAATCTGCTTATTATATCAGAGGGCCTTGGACTGGCCTCTTAAAGGAAACATGTTTTATAAAGTTACCTGCTTTGATGTCCCACCTCCTTGTGCCTGGCTTTTTTCAGTATGTTGAGAGGTATGAGAAAAGATAGTGAAACAGAGAGGGATCATATATCTATATGTATCTATATATTTATATATAGATATATTTCAGCTCAGTAAGCAGGGGAAGGAGGTGGTGGTACACAGATTTCTGTTTTAGGGTGAATTATTATACCAGACCAAAAAGCAGGCAGTAAAACAGCATTGAGACCTGAGGGGCCACTGGAGCAGCAGCCTTTAAACTCTCTTCTTTCGGAGAGGCTTTTACTGTTGGACCTGACAAATCCTTTTCTTCCCAAGCTGGTTCTTGAAATTTGCTCTAGATTAGAGAAAAGGGTTAGTCTCAAGGAGCAGAAAAGAACTTTGCTAGTGCCTTAGTAGAGCAGTGGGAAGCTAGCTTGTCAGCCAGCCACTAGCTTGTTAAAGGCAAGGGAGAGAGGGAGGTCTCACAAGCCAAGCAAGAAAGGATATCAAAATTAAGAGATGCAAGAAGAAAGAAGCTGGAAGCGTGGGAATGTGGCTGCTAGGTGTGTGCGTGGAGGTATGGGTAAGGTACAAAGCTTTCAGCATGTCCTCCCTACCCACTCTGCCATTCTGCAACTTCACTCATAATATTTGTTTTTCTGGTCTTAAGTTAGCAGCTGGCATTCTCCAGTTAGTCAAACCTTTAGGTATGTTCACACGCACACACAATATAACAATCCAAAAGCTGATGAGTTGCCTGGGCCAGCAGGTTTGCATTCAGCAACTGAGCCAGGTCGCACACACATACAAAAAGGACAAGGGATGCAAGCAGTGCCTGTCAATCAACGACCATGTTTTGAAGCCATGGTGTATGATGCATAAAGACGAGTCACACAACATGCTTTATGAACTTTCCACTGGGACAGTTCATCTGGGGAGTTACCACGGCTTCTGCCAAAGTGATTTCACATCCAGAATCGGGAGAAGCCAGTTCAGCATCTCCATCTCCATCTCCATCTCCTTGTTCAGAACCAATAGAAATATCTTCCTTCCAAGATGAAGGCTGAGATGGTTCCCCATCACTTGGTCCTTGTGCAACAGCTAAGTAGGCCACTTCTGATGCCATACCAGTATGCTTTGCTTTGCTTTCTAAAATGCCCAAGGACACCTTATCTCTTGCATTATTGTTTTCAGAAGGTATGTAATTCTGTGAAAATGCTGCAGCTAGTTCTATGTGCATCTTTGGTGGTTTCTTTTGAGTGTCACTTCCAGGATAACTCTCATGGAATCTCTTTTGTGGCACATGTTGCTCATCAGAAAATTGACTGTATGTTTCACTTTGTTCAAACATCCTGATTCTAGAAGCTACAGAAGTTTCTTTGTTTGTCTCACCTCTATGCTCTAAGAAATCCGCACAGATCTTTGCTGATGGGGCTACATCTTCATTTTTTTCAAGTGGAACAGTAACATTCAGTTCACATGCAACAGGTGTCAAACCTGGTTTTTGGTTTTCACTAGGCATTTGGAGTTCTTCCTTTCCCTGTGATGTGGCATGAGAAGTTTCTGAACATTCTCCTTCTGTCAAACCAGTCTTATGAGAGAGAGTAGGAGTAGGCTCTTTTTCTTCCTTTAAAAGAGTTTTATCTTGAGGAATCACTTCCAGTTCTGAATGTTTAGAACCAAAGAAGTCAGGTTCAGACCAAAGGTAATCCCCAGATGGCTGTTTCAAATCAGATGACTTATCCTGGGCTTGCTGTTCTGAGGAAACAGTTATTTCTTCTGACTTTTGGAAAGTATATTTTGCAAGGTCTTCTGCTGTATAGTGGTTATCCTTAGATGGGACTTCAAATTCTAGGACGTTATCATTAGCTGCCCCTTCTACTTTTCTTTGTTCATCCAGTTCTTTGAGTTCATTTTGGGCTGGCCTGTCCAATCTATCAACTTCCTCTCTGTTTGGAACTTCATTCTCAAGAAACCCCTCCTTAGTTGTCCTTTCCAACTCTGATAGATTGCCAAAAAATAACTTCTCTTTATGAGACTCCTCTGACTGTGGGGACATTTCTCTTGTCATCTGTCCTACTTCAACATAGTTGGCATTGGCTTCATCTTCCAATTTCTGGAGTTCCTCTTTGGCTACTTCTAATTCAGGGCTTTCATCTTTATCTGCCTGTTTTAACAAAAAGCGTTGATTATTGCTGTATCCTTCCGATTTAGGGCATTTATTTTTGGCTGTCTCTTGAATTTCAGAGAATGTATCTGGAGTGGACTGGTTGGAATCAATGGCTTCACTTTGAGTTAATTCTCTTGCATTTGCAACCTGTGATTTATATTGCTTACCATCTGAAATTGCTGTAGTACAAGAAAGTTGCTGTTGTGAGGAACACAGAGTAGATATTTTAGTTTCTATGTCTTCCATTTGAAGAAGTATTTGTGAAGTTTCCCTTTCATCTAAATTATTTTCTTTCTCATCAGATTTCTCTCCACTTTCTTGGAGAGTGTTGTGAGTTTTGTCAGCTCCATGTTGTTGCTCAGGAGAGAGATGAATTGATGTTTCTTTTGTAGGGGATCCAGACTTCTGTGGTGGCATTGGTACATGGAAAATGCTTTGACTGGAATCCTCTGTGGAGGGGTATGGCCTTGATTTACAGTCATCTTTGGCTCCATTAGCAACTGGCTCTACAGAAGCTCTTTCCTCTGCAATTAATGAATGCTCCTCTTTTTCAACATTACACTGTTCTATATGATAGGCCTTTTGGTCATCCTCTCCTGCTTTGCTGGCCTGGTCTGGTTCCAGAACTGGCTTCTTGATCTCTGATCTTTCTTCAGCAGATGTTGGTGACCAAGGTTGAACTTCACCATCTCCCCTTTCCTCTCCTACATCTGAAATTGGTACTAATCTAGTGCTCTTCTCCTTTTCATGCACTAGGTTTGTTTGCTTATCCTGCTTCTCTTCTGATGAGGAATGCTTTTCTTTCTCATTTATTTCCTTGGTCTCATCACTTTTTTCATTGGTTTCTTCAGAACCTAAATATATTATCCTTTTTGCAGCAGAAGATACTACTTTATCACTCTGCTTTTTAGCCTTAACAGACTCAGAATCAGGGGTAGTTTTTAACACTTCCTTGTCTGAGACTGTCAAAATAGTCCTCTGTTCTTGTAATATGATTTTGCTTTCTTCTTTTGAAGATTCTGCCCAAGAAGAGGAACACATCTGATCTTCTTCAGATTGGAAATCTCCAGGGCTAGCACTCATCTTTCTTGGACATTTGACAGTGACAGTTGGTTCTTCACATTTGGTGTATTCTACCTCCATTTTGTCTTTCTGCTCTTCCTTTTCTTCAGGTTCATAGGTGATAAGTAGCACTGCCTCTGTTTTGTCTTTATGTTCTTCCTTCCTCTCAAGTTCAGCAGGAGATATCAGCACTTCCTCTATTTTATCTTCATGTTCACTCTCCTCTATTGTTTGTTTGTCTGTCTCAGAAGTGTGTTTTATGTTCTCTCTCTCATACAAATCATCCTCCCATAATGATTCAAAATCCTCCGGACTGGCAATCATTTTGGCTCTTTTTCGCATCTCTGTTTTGCTTTCCTCACTTACTTCCTCCATCTGTTTTGCTGTGGCCTTGCGTTCCTCTGCTGCAGTGGGTACCTTTGATAAGTCCAGATTTGCTTGCTTCTTTGAAGGCCCTGCACATGCTTCTTCCTCCTGGGTCTTAATAATTTGTTTTAGTGCTAGCTCTTCCAGCCCAGTAGTGTCTCTTTCTATAAATACCCAATGCTCTGAACCCTGCATTGATATTGGAGCAAGAAGAGTTGGTATTAAACATAAATTAAATTAAACAAGTAATAAGTCTTGACAGAGCTCTTGAGTTAACTGAACTATTTTATCATTGCCAAGAAACAATCTGAGGAAGAGATATTTGATACTACTTTAAAAGATGATGAAATTTCAAGGCTCAATTCTAAGACTGTGATGAAGAATTTAATGTTAACTGGTAAACTTTTGTCCCTTCTAGCTGACAAAAGTTTTCAATAAAACTTAAGCAACATAGTTATAAAGTTGTAATCTGCCCTATTAGCTAAAGTTTTGGAAATTTTAATATCTTATGATCAAAATTCAGAAATCAAATATATGTTGTAAAGCAAACATTTTGATCAGTTGTTCAGTTATTTCATTCACAGTTAAATTATTCCAATATAGACCAATCAGATTTCTATATATACATGTACAGACAAAAGGAAGTAAATTAGGTTTTGGATTTTTATGAGGTTCAGAGTTAATTTTGATATTATTATACTATCCACATCCTATTAAACCTCTATACTTTTTAAAAGTTTGGCTAGGAGATTGGTCTGGTAGAGCATGGGATTCTGACTGCAGCACCTCCAGGAAATTGCTCTAGTCAAGATTTCCTACATTGACTGAACAAGTACAATGTAACTAGACATTTTTTTTGTGTCGTATCTTTTTTCTCTGGGGAAACTTAAGCAAAGCAGCTATTTCTGTTCAAATCATTAGTAACTCTGAATCCAAAGCAACTTCTGTTCAGAAAATGAAGATCAGAGGGCTAGGATTAGAAAAGCAAATCTAAGAATGTTAGCAACAGAAACTGCTACACAGACCGCTGTTAAGGCAATAGTTCGGCAAAGTGTAGGAGGCAGCCAAAAAGGAAGTCTACTATTTAGTGCCCCATGTAGCACAGCAGTACCAAACTGCTTAAACACTGAAAATGCTGTGCACTAATATGTACTGATTTGTATTTTATGCTGTGTGTGCAGTCTAAGCCCATCACATACTGTACAGACTCAGCAGTTCAGTCATCCCCATGTACAGTTCAGTCATCCCCATGGAAGAAAGCACAAAGAGCACATATTGATGAAACTGTGGCACAACAGTGACAAACAATTAGATTAAGCACCTGCTATTATAGTCTGGGTTTTAGAGTGTTAACATTAGAGACAATGGGCCAGGGTTGACTTCTTAAATCTCTTATTTGTGCCTGGCTGCATTCCTGCTGATTTGCTAATGGAAAGAAAGATTTGCAAGTAGCCTTGCTCTAGTGTCACAAATCATACTGAGTACACTACAGTTGATCAGACTGAGCTATTAATTATATCACAATAACTTCAATATTGACATGCAACTGTAGGGTAGTAGTGGTGTGGCTCTCAACGGATGCACAGAATGAATTATCAACTATATGTTGAGTTGCATGGACAATATTAATACAGCAAACTTGCACTATAATAATTGATTTCCAACTCCAAAACATTCACACGGAACTGTTTATCCCATTGTTGTTAACACATATCAAGAAATCTATAAATAATTTCCTTTTCTATCATCAATTATTCTGCAACAAACACGTCTGTGCCCAGGTGCTCTTTCATTTTATCTTTGGAGTCAACCTAGTTCCACTTGTACTTTCAGAGGGGTCCGAAATATTTTTTGAAAAATTCTTTGCAAATCTTTGCCTCTTCTCAAACTGTCATTGCTTCTCTGTCATTTGCTACTTTATGTCCACTTCAACTCTAGAGCTTCCTTCTCCTTGAAGATTGTTGGGGGAGATCCTGCTCTCAGTCCCACCATCCTCATAAACACAACTGGTGGGCACGAGAGACAGGGCCTTCTCAGTGGTGGCCCCTTGTCTGTGGAACTCCCCTCCAAGTGACATCAGATCTGCCCCCTCCCTCCTATCCTTTAGAAAAATCTCAAAACATGGTTGTGGGACCAAGCATTCAAACAATAGATGCAGCAATCAAGATTGAAACTAACTCTCTGTGACAGACAATGGTTTGACCTGGACTATGATTTGAATTTGTGTGATTTTAAATGAATGTTTAATAATTAATGTTTTTAACTGTAATTAACGATTTTAACTGTAATTGATATTTATGACTTTGTTTGAGGGCATCAAGTGGTTGCCTGCTGTAAGCCGTCCTGAGTCCCCCCTCAGAGGTGAGAAGGACAGGATACAAATATGTGAAATAAATAAATAATTGAAGTGGTTCCAACAGGGATCATACAATGAATACAACGATGTCACAACACTTTCACCTTAAAGGTTTGCCTATGTGGGTATGCCATTAAGAGGAAACAAGGTAGATTTTGGATCCTTTCTCACTGCACAAAATATTGCTATTACATTTGATCTGTCATGGTTTCATCTCATGCAATTGTAGAATTTGCAGCTTAGAAAAAGTCATTAGAATTATCTTCCAGAGAGATCTAGTGACTCTCCAAACTACAAACCCTAGTATACCATAGGTTACAACCATGGCAGCTAAAGTGAAAACATAGTGCTAGATTGGCGTGGCATAACAGTCCCCTCAGAGTGAAGGTAGTGCTCTGAAACAATGCTTCAACTGCTAAAAAAAGAAGTGCAAACATAAATTTGTCATATAGTATATTTATGATTTGCAGCTGCAACTTGAAACCAGACTACTTTGTGGCAGAGTAATTCAGAATAAGAATAGACAAGCTCTTTTACCTATTGCGATATTTCATTTCTGCATAAGCTTTAAATTTTTAAACCATTATCTCAAATTACGTATTAGAGGACTATTTTTCTTAAAATTCATAGAACGAAATACTAAGAACAGCTTTACAACAATTATACCTACGAAATCTGCTGGAAAGGTAAGCTCTAATTCATACATGATTATAATAAGAGGTGTGGTCACAATGTTCTGCAGAGGGATTAGCCAAGATCAAACTTTTGTCATCCCTACACACCAGTCACTTCATCAGCAATGAAGGCAAACAACTGCCTTATCCTCTTTCTCCATATCCTGTATTTTTAAGAACAAGCTCTGTAAGTCACACAATACAAGAGTATATCCTAGTGAATATGTAGTCAGCTGTGTTTGTCCATGCACCCAAAAAACAACATGTTGGGCTTCCTGCTAGATGTGCATAGTTGATTATATAACTGGAAGTGGATTTATGGTCTTTGTCGCCATTAAACCAACTATTTCTGTCTTTTGTTGTGACTATTTCCCTGTATGATGTAAAACAATTCTAATCAAACATGTTTAGAATAGGAGTTTAAAGAATCAAAATGCATGGTTGGCTGGGTCCTCTTTAATAAAATAACAACCAAAACAACTTATTTGGATCCACATTCACTGCTGCTAAATACTGTTTGTCTGGTTTTAAAGAGGGCTAGCAATAATTCGACTGGATTCAAATGCTAGCCCCAACTGCAGCAGTTTCACTGCATCTATGGAGCTTACATAACTATTGTCAGCACTAAAGAAATTTGATGGGTTTCATTCAGTCTTAATTGTACACTTCCTATGCCAACCATTACTACTTTTTACCATTGTTTTCAATAGGACCCAAGAGTGAATACAACTAAATGCTACCTCCTGTACTGAGAACTGCCAAGAATTTTTCCTCCACTGAGATCTGAGAAGGCTACTGTTCAGAGATAATATGAGGGATGAAGAGAGGGCACAACAATGTCAAAACAGAGTAGAAAAATATCACTTGCCTATGGCCAACTTGCCTATGGCCAACTTTGGTGCCTAACAAAATGACTAAATAGATGTGATTTTGAAGGATTAATGTAGGATTAATGTAGTATTTTAATGTTTTAGTGTATTACGGGATGTGATGTTTTTAAACGATTGTCTGTGATACTGTTGTTGTGAACCGGCCTGAGTCCCTCTGCGGAGGTGAGAAGACCAGTATATAAAAGTTCTAAATAAATAAATAAAATAAATCTGTTAATGCTGAGGATGTGATACAGTTGCTTAAGTAAAGATAAGTTCATATACATTCACAAGAATTACTAAGAAACTCATCATGAAACGTATCTTAAGGGCCCAGATGTAGGTGTGCATGAATGTAACTTCTTTCTCATTTCACCCCTTCTGCCTTACCTGGCAGGTCTGTTTTTCATGTGTTGTCTTCTACTGTCCATTAGAAGGCAATACACTACTCTGTGACTTGGCCTTTGGCCAGAGCAATTGAGTTCAATATCTGTACTTAAAAACAAGTACTTTGGGTTGGTTTAGAAACCATTCAGAACTGGCAAGAATAACACATCTGTTCTGCTCTGAGTGATTCAACATGCAGGAAACTATTTCACAATGAGAATTGGTTTTCTAACTACGTTGCTTAAGGAAACAACTTGGAAGTGAAACATCGCTTTACACTTAAAGTCAGCTATTGTAATTTTGATAAACAGGGTATTTTAGCAACCCTTCATGTTTACAATTATACTCAGGGTCTAAGGATTTCTTTATTATGCCTTATATTCATTCTAACTTAGCCTGTTGTCAGAAGTGACATTGCATAAGAATTTAACTGTACTGTAAAAAAGTCTGTTCGCTGCCATCAAAGGTTTCCCCTCCTCTATTTCTAGATACATGGCCACTGAGTTTGAGAACATGAAAAGTGAACCAGTCAAAATGGATGGCTCTTTGAAATAAAGGCTGCCAGTTGCTTTCTATCCAAATATCTCTGCCTCTAGGTAAAATTCTTGGGCAAATATGAAGCCATTCCTTGTACAAATCCACTAATTTAGTCCATTGAGAAAACAATTAACTACTAGATTTGACCTCAGGCACATCCACTAAAGTTGGCCGATTTCATGGAAAACACCAAGGAGCTGTTTAATTGAAATGCACTAGAAGAGCCCTGGATTATTTGTATATTCATATTAGCCTAGAAAATCATTTCTACTGAAAAAGACCACAGATCCATTGAGGTCTGTACTACCTGACAAATGGACATTCTCAGAGGTTCTGGCAGGAGTCTTTTCTTCCCTGGAGGTATTAAGGACTGAATTCAGAAAAAAAACTGCATGCAAAACAGCTTCTCTACTCGAAAGTGATGACAAGCCTGTCAGATAATCTGGACAATAGGATACTTTGGATGTATAAACACTGAGCAGCCAATGTGGATATCCAATATACACAACTCATCTTGAATGCATGTACATCCCTTAGTTGGAGAACTGAATACAATACCAACATGACATTGTCCTATTTAAGCCCTAGTACTAGGTTCAGACTCATGTTCCTAAATTAGTATACTCAAAATCTCTTGCAAAATGTAAACGTATCATAGAAAGGCTAATAGGTTGCAATAATAGTCACTATAGTGGTTTGGGTATTGTACTATAACTTTGGAGACTAAGGTTCGAATCCTTGCCCAGCCATGGAAACCCACTGGATGACCTTGGGCAAGTCACATTCTCTCAGTCTCAGAGGAATACAAAAGTAAACCTCCTCTGTACAAATTTTACCAAAAAACCCCAGTAGTAGCTTAGAGGAGGGGTTCCCAATATTTGGTTTCCAGTTGTTTTGGACTCCCAGTAATCCCAGCCAGTTTACCAGCTGTTAGGAACTGTGGGAGCTGAAGTCCAAAACACCTGGAGGACCAAAGGTTGGAAACCACTGGCTTAGGGTCTCCATCAATCAAACCTGACTTGAAGGCACACAACAAGAACTACTACCTGTCTTTATTCTATCATCTAGTAGCACCATTACAGATGGAACAACTTTTCTTTGAGGTAAGTACCAAATGAATCCATAATTTAATGATTCTGTCATCTAAATCTGACAATCGTATACAAGACTACCCAGTAGTAAGTTTGTCTGATTATTCCTAATAGTTTCTCTAGTATTTCATCCTAAATCATCCTAACAACCTCAAAAGGAAACAAAAGGAGAAACAGATACAGAAAAGAGAGAAAATGAGAGTAGTGATAACCTCAGGAGAAGAAACAAGGCTTTTCTGTGTAAAAGATTCCATGACTAAGGCAGCTCCATGCTCAGATGACAGATCCTCTGGAGAATCTTCTTCTGACATCTGTTTCATTGGGTAAACCCAAGACCCCAAGAGAAAGAGACAGAAAAAGAAACAGACAGAGAAAGAACAGGGAGAGACAGAGAAAGACAGGCAGTAAATAAAATATGGAGGATATGCTCCATTCCTGGAGTTTTCACCCTGCTCTTATAACTTCATCTGGTGATTTTTCTGGGAAAACATCCTTCAGCTTCCATTTTCTCTATGCCAGTGACAGTTGCATCCAACAACCAACTGAACCTAGTTCTACACACTATTTTCTCTCTATCTGGTGAAACACTCAAAGACATAGTAATCAAGCCAACGTCCATGGTCAAAGTTTAATTTCAACCTAATGCAAATCATGCTATTCTCACTCCTTTTTATCCAGGAATACTCTGAAGATGAATCCTTAAGGGACTTAATATATCTGCCATGTTGATGTATATAGCTGGAGTAGCAGTGTGTAATTTCAACATCAAAAATTTGCACAAAGGAGGAGAGCACAACCCCCGCCATTTTATGTATATCCATCTCTGATTATTTCTTATCCAGCTGTGGTCATTTCTTTCATTGGAGCTGAGCTGGAAAAAATATCCTGGATAATAGAAGGCTGTCAGGGAAAACCCTCCTCATATGATCTTTGCCCATCTCACATTCATCCAATTTTAGTATTTTACACATCCAAAGTCCAGTAGTATACAAAACATTGTTTTTATCTCCCTAGAGCAGTGTTTCTCAAACTCTGCTCCTCCAGATATTTTGGACCTCAGCTCCCACAATTTTTAAGCAACAGTCAAGGAGATATTCCAGCATATGTCCACAGAAAGAGAAGAAAACAGAACCATAGGATTTTCTAGCTAATCTTCCTCCATTTTATCTGAAAAGAAAGGCCAATTCAGCTCAGCCTTGATGTGCAAAATACCAAAGAAACACATATACAGAATAAAACCCTTGAGAAAAAGAAATGTACATTTCAGCACAAACATCAAACTCATAAGCCTCAAGTTAAAGCTTGTATGTGAGATATTCATATGTTCATACTTGTAAGACATTCTGTATATAAAAAGTTCTACTCTTTTATTTAAATTCAGACTGAGCTGTGCTGCAAGAAACATCTTGACATATTGCTTCTGTTATATTGATTCTATTCAATATAATATTGATAATATTTTAAAAATAGAACCTTTTCCTGGAACATTTTCATTATTTAGACCTCACATGAATATGACGAGGTAATCTAGAAATAGTTATTTCATTTTGCTCTTGATAAGAGCTGCACTTAAGGGGCCCGCTGACTATTTATGAAACAACACTTTGCTAAGTTGCAACTCTGCCAAGGCAGCAAGTAAGGAAGCAGACACAAAGGCTTAATTGAACAAGGGTCACAATGTATTAAATCCAACGAGAATGATCAGCAGAGGAGAACTGATTTGTGTGGTAGCCTAAACCCAAACTAAAGGCCTAAAGCCTGTCAGATTAGGGCCTAGGAAAAGGAGAGAACCCCTCTCTCATAGAATGACATGGCCAGTGCAATTTGAATGGCAAGCAGCTTTCTCTCCTTAAGCCACCTGCATACAGTTGCCATCATAGGAAAGCATTTCAAATAGCTTCCCCTAGCAGCTGTAACATCATTTCAACCAGACCTTCTTTAGTCCAGATATCTCACAACTTCGGTATGGCTATACTATTCAGCACCAATGTTGATGACAGATTATTGAACATAATATTATTTCCTATGCTATCATCTTCCTCCTGCCCCCTTTGTAGTTTGGTCTAACATTTATCTCAATTATGGAATTCTTTCTTTTTTTATAAACCACTCCTACCTAAACAATGTAGAACAACTGAACAATGTAGAACAACTGTACATGATGTCAGTATAACCCACAATGAGCGGAAAGACAATGGCAAAAAAATCTTAAAAGTAGTGATGATTAGAGTATAACTAATTTCAAATAAAGAATATTCTATGTAGTGGGTTCTTTAATTATCTCATCAAATCACCAGTTGCCTGTCTTCTGGTATGCTGTAATGGATACTCATTCTGATAACAGCAGGGAGTAGTGTGAACTCATTTGCTATGTCAAGAAAGGTGTGTGTGACCTAACTCTTGTATATTTTTGAAATCCTAAGAAATTGCTATCTCCCTGGATAGTTTTAAAAGTATAATGGTCAGAAGTTATTGCAAGTGTCAGAATGAAATGTGGTTATTCTAACTTTGCATATATTAAGAAATCATTCCAAAGTAGAGTAAGTTTGAGAGTGACAAGCATGATGCAAATGTGAAAGCAGAAGAATTTACTGTCTGTGACACCAACAATCCTAGCTAAGTATAATGCAACACTTCACTCTAAACTGCACAATATGAACAGTTAGTACCAGGAACCTGTCCATCTAGAAGCTTTCATGAGCTTCACATTATAAAATTATGAAAACATATTGTCAGAAAACATATTGTCAGACATTGTTTGGACCTTTAAAAACATATGGAATTAATGAGAATTCTTCATGTACAGATTTGGCAGCTAATGTAGAATTTTAAAATACACATATGTTTTAAGCAAGGTAACATATTGTTACCTTGCTTAGCACATATCATCTCTAACTGGCAGTAAGGCCCTGGGCTCTCAGACAGAGATCTTCCCATCAACTGCTGCATTATCTTTTTAATAAGGAATGTCAGATCTTTGAGACCTTCTTCAGTGCATAGTGTATCAACTTAGTGACCATTAAATTCATGTCCAAACCCCAAAAGCAGTTTTTCTGCAGAGAGTACAAGAAGATGGTGAAAAATGGATCTTACTGTTAAGATGCTACTTATATCTTTGCCTAGAATTAAATAAATCATCATTTTAAAGGAAGAGAAAACAGAGTGGTCACCACATAAATAAGCATGGAATGATTCTGACAGCATAGAATAGGAATAATTTTAATACTGCAAAGAAAATGCAGCAGGACTCCTGGTCACTAACTCTGTTGGGCTGCAGAGTAGGTAAAGATTCAAGTGCAAAAATGTAAATGCACATGAGTTGTGCAGACTCTTGATACCCACCAGTCAAGCTTCATATCATTATCATAACAGCAAAACAAACCTCATAGGCCTTCTCTGGAGTTCCTTTTGGTGTTTCATCTTCATGTTTGGGAGAGGAAGAGGCAGGTGAGGAAGGCAGTCTCCTATCTCGATCCCTGTGAACGAGCTTGCTGTTGGGTTCCTTCAGAGTCCTCTTCAACTCATTGATGCTGGCCTGGTGCTTTAGTAAAACATCTTCCGGTTTATCTAAAAACTTTTGAAGGGAAAGGGGAAGGTAACTACTGAGGAGAGGGTTAGTGAAGGGAACATGAGTGGGACAAATGAGCAATTTTTGTGAGGTGGAAGCTTCATTGAATTTAGAATCTTTGAAACCATTATTATCTGGAAATACACTCTTCCATTTTCAGTTTAATTGAGGCATGGTTTAGGCTGACCAGTAGTGCTGAAAGACAAGTCCTGCCAGACAAGGAATTCAAGAGTTATCTTTGAGGAAAAACAGAGTTTGCGAAGTGTTTTTTAAATGCCGGTTTCCAGAAGGCATATTGCTCATGCTAACTGAAGCATTCTGGGAGCCGTGAAATTAAAAAAACAAAACTAAGCAGTATTTTTTAAAAAATGAATGTCTCTTTGAGTATTTATTTTTGAGTAAACTGCAATAGACTCTTAGCTTTTAGTGACACATTTTATTGGAAGACTAGTAATTCCAGAGGCAACAGCTAAAGGGATGGGGAGAAAGCTAGATAATGTCCCCACCCTGCATTTATGGTTTCTATGCTTACTACCACTAGGTGTCCTCAGGACATCAAGTCTTTCACCAAAGTGGCATCAAAATTAAAATGTGAAGTAGAAACCAGAAACAGGATGTTCCAAATAGTAGAAAAAAGTAGAACTTAAATCATCACTTTTGTTTTTGTCTGTGGTCAGGTGAAGCTCCACTCTGTTGGACTGTGCAAACTGATTCAAAGAGAGGAAGACTTTAAATCAGTAGACCCAATACACATATGAATTTAAATTTGAATGGTCCCATATCCCCAGCTGCTAATCTTTTGTTGTTTCCTGGATAAAAGCATCCTCTTGCATTTCAAGACTATCCAGGATCCATAAAACATAATCAGGTTCCATAAAAACTGGCTAGTTCTCATCCTAGAGCAACATTTCCTAAATGTATCATAAAATTATTTTCCTGTAGTGGAGCTGACTGGAGTAAGACAAGGGCAGAGCAGTGAATCATGCAAAGATGCAAGAGGCAGCCTCCTGTTTTGATGAGTGCTTAATGCAGCTTTTTCAGTGTGGTCAAATACTTAGAAATAGGTTCCTTTGTATTTTGTGGTGCTTTCTTCAGAATAATTGGATACAAGACTGCAGCCCTCACATCGCTCCAGGTTAGCAGTTTCCTTGCAACATACAATAAACACATTTAGGAAAACATGGCCCTAGATAATCAGAATAGTAACAGTGTGCATCTCTGAAGCAGTTTGCTCCTTGCCCCATTCATGTATTTGGTGAAGTTGTAAATAAGGACCATAAAGGGTTGCATTACAAAACATGCAGAAGTAATGGATGATGACAGAACAACATGGTTGAAATAAAAACCGGCACTGAAGATCAATGGCTCAGAGAACATGTATGTGTGTGGCATTTGTGTGTCTTCATGAGAGATAGGAAAAATGATTGAGACAAAAGATGGTGAAAATGCTCAGGCATCAATAAGTGGCTGACAGGAAAAAAAACAGTATGACAAACTTGGCATTCAGCCTATGGTTTATTTTTTCTGGCTTTGATTCTATAGCCTGATTCAACCCTACTTCAAGATGGCTTAGTTTCAACAATTGCTCTGCAATTCTGTCTTGCCAAATAAATACATGAATAAATAAAGCTACACGTGATTCACCAATGGATAATAAGCTTAATGAAGAACTATCTAAACCTCTTGTGCACAACTGGGCCAGAAAACTAATATACCATACTCTACTTGTTATGTACTACATCAATTCTGTCATTCAAGCACAATTATAAGCAACTTTGTAATTTTGCTTTCTGCTATTTGGCAAGTTAGCCTGCAGATAGTTGGAAAGTCTTATTTCATTTTGGCTAAAACTGGCCAAATATATGAAATGTGATTCAGATCTGACTTGCAATTTAAAGATGTAGCTTCTCATCATTTCTATTTCTGCATCATGAATAAAGATCTCCTACCCAAAGTCATCAGGGCCGGAAAATGAAAGAAACAGAGACAGTGGAATGCTAGGAAAACACAAGAGAGTCAGTTGGGTGATATATAGGTATGATTTCCAAGGAAGCAAGTAGCTGATGTAACCTGCTTGCTAGGTAGATCTATGAAGAAGAATGGTATACTTAGTGGGATAAAAGATGCGGCTTGTGTTTTGAAGAACTTGCCTTGCAGTTAAGGATCAAGGTTGTCTGAAATGTGATCTGAGGTGAATGCTCTGTATTACCAAGCTAAGTTGCACCTTGTATTCCACTAAAGAGAGTTACATATAATGGTGTTTGCGTTTTGAAAGAGAAGGATGAAAAATAAGATGCACTGATATGGAATTAAGACATTCCAGAGAGATTATACCTCTTGTTTGTGCCTTGGGGTGGTTTCTTGTTCCGGCTGGTATAGCAGAAAGAGGTGGGAGGAAGAAAGCAACTGGCAAGGTCAGTTGAGGAAAGCCACATTATATACATTAGACAGTTTAAAGTCAGGAGCCAAGAAAAAAGATCATCTGCAACAAGGCATGAGAAAATCTCTCCATCTCATTTAAGGTGGGGGTGGGGGAGAGAAATCATTGTTAAAATGATACATTTTCTATTTCCTAAGAGTTGTCAGTTGTCTTGGAAATATGCACATAAGTTCATTCCTCCTTATCTGAAATGCTTGGGTCCAGCAGTTTTTTGGATTTTGGATTTTTAAAGTTTCTGGAATAGCTGCATTTGTATGGAAATAGTGAATGGAAGAAAGGGGGTTAGTTACACACCCAGCATACACTGAGTTGTTCTCAATGAGCTCTCACTCTAAAACTGTCAGAAATTTCACAGGTGAAAGGAAGGTTGGAAGCACTCCGGATCCAGCAGCTTGATTTACAGAAAGCCCCTGTAAAAATCAGACAACAGTGGAGGGAAAAGTCCAAATACATCCAGCTGCAGTGGGTTGGAAAATGTTGGAAAGCAGTAGCAATGGCCTATATTTCCACCCAACCAATGGGGATGTGTAGTGGAGTGGGCACCCTGGAACAAGTGTGAAGGTTAAGTGTTTGCAGATTTCCAAGACATGTGATATAGATGCTTTACCTTTAGCTCCTTGATTTTTGTTGGAGTGGTCACTTCTTCATCCTCAGTCTCAGACCGTGTCCTTCCATCATATTTGCTGTCTTCATCTCTCTTGTCTGATTCCATTCCATCATGATTTTCGCTGACTGAAGCTGGGCGGGAGAATTCTGCATATGAGAGAGAAAAGCAGGGAAGCACTATTTTTTTCATTTCAACCAGGGAATGTTTATTGTCATGAGTTATTGCACATGCTTCTCTGACTAGATCTGGTGTACTCTTAAGAATTCAAAATCTCCCTATCCTCTGGAAAAAGCTCAGAACATCATGGTGTACATTGCTATAAAATCATCTCTGAGATCCATATTTTATTTTGATCTTTGTTTTCCATTCCTTAAACCAAGGTTAGGAAAAGATTGATAATCCTTATATTGATGGACCACTAATCCCATTATCCTTTACCATTGGACAGACAGACTAGAAATTAGATATTAACAACATTAAGGAGGACCATGGGTTCAACGGTCTTTCCTTAATCCTTTTGGGCCTAAATCCATGGCAAGTCTAGAATATAAGGTTTAGTTACATTAGATCCATGTATTGTTTCACTATCAGTTTAAATACACTTCTACCACTTTTACATGCCCCCTCCCCCAAGCAAGTCATCTAATTCAGGGTGCCATATTTCAGATAATATGTTTGATTTGATTTACTTCATTTCTACCCCACCTTTCTTGACCCGAGAGGGAACTCAAGGCGGCTTACACATCCAACAAAAGTTCAATGCCGCACAGGTGAACAATAAAACACATCTCATAAAAATTTAAACAATCTAAGTATATAAGCAATTAAAACTCATAACAATCTATCAAACAGATAAAAACCACATATAAAATGCCAGGTCATAATCTCATTGTGATTTCATTTGAAGTGGACCTTCATGTCTTGCCAGTCCAATTTCCAATACCATTTAAAGGAAGCCTATCTTTATCAAGAATGCTTAGACTGTATTGACATCACCATATAATCCAGTATCTGATCTCAGACTATCTGCTTGGAACTGGATTATATGATCTCTGGGATTAGAAACTGGATTGTATGGCAGTGTAGAAGGGACGTTGGCTAACTGATTTTGCAAAGTGACTTGTAATAATAGTGGTTCTAAATATTTATTATAAACAAATCCCTATGCTTTAAAATAAATACAACATAAAGTGTACAGATCAGTGGTGCACAACCTGTGGTCCTCTAGGTTTTTGGACTTTAACTCCCAAAATTTCTGACCATTGGACAAGCTGGCTAGGGCTTCTTGGAGTTTGAAATCCAAACACCTGGAAGGCCACAGGTTGTGCATCACTGGTATAGATTATACTTTTATAATATGCAACTTTTCTTTTCTTGAATACATTCAAGATCTCTCCTTTAAATTTTGTTGAGAATACCTTTGCCATGCTTTTGCCAACAAAATTTTTACTACACCTCCTGTATCCAATTTCTATTTGGTTTCTTGCTTTACGCAAGACAACACAACATTCAGAGATGTGGTGACAGGAGGCCATTCAGTTATTATAAGTTCTCTCATGCTTCCCATCCTTAGCCACAGTCATATACTCCCCAATTTCTTTGAAATATCATTGCTCTCTGCTGTTCAATTATCTCCAAAAGAAGAATGAGGAATGCTTTAGGAAACACAATTTTCTAAACTAAGGAAGAAGAGGGACATCTCTTTTGCTCCCAGAAAATGAACCTCTTGGCTAAGACTTGCATTCCCATTCTGCTTGAGCTGAGGTTCATTAAAAGTGCTAATAGAATTTTATAGAACTGGAGGGGAGAAAAATAAATTCATTCTGAAGTTTCTTTATCTGCACTATACTTGGATTCAGCATTGACCAAGGACTAAAGAACACTGCTTGTGAATAATGTCATGGGGAACTTTATCTAGTAGCTGCATTGTTCCAGCCTCTTAAGTGATGCATTTAATTTTGGCGGAGAGGTATGTCTCTCACAAGACTATCTGTCCTTTAATGAGCAGTCAAACAACAAGTATCCCAGAGAAGCAGTGATGGAACCTGGGAAGTAGCTGTTAATGTCACTGCCTTTAAGAATAAATGCGAGCATAAGCAGAGAAGTCTGAGTCAGGCTATGTGCAGCAAAAACAAAGCACCATCGCTATGTTTTCCACTATATGTAACATCATTATACATATATTTGCATGGTTTTCATTGTTTAAAGAAATAACATTTATCTATACAAATTTGCATAGCCTGATCTGTTTTCAAGATATTTGAAAAATATTTTTATTTAAAATTAGTACTTTTTGTCTAAGAAACACCATGTGTTTGTCACTCTTTGGAAATTGCCAATCAGCACAGCCTCCTGACCAGAAAAAAAAAAACATTCTTGATATCTCTTGGCATTGCATTGTCTCCATTGTGGGCTGCCTGGCATATCACCCAGTCAACTAAAAAACCCCTCACCAGCCCTCAACCACCCATCACTTCCGTACAGTCTCCCAAACATTCAACTACAACTCCCCATGCCCACCAGTGAACCAATCTCCCACCCCCTCCCCAATTTGGGGCATACCTCCATCGAGGCTGCGAGACATGGTGTACCGTTTGCTGGAGGAGCGCTCAAAGTATGGGGCAGGACGGTCAATCAGAGCACTGGCCTGCCGAGTTTGAGCTTGTGTTCGCCCACTATAGCGGAATTTGGAGCCCATGACTAGGAAGCCCTTTGGAGGAGGCTCCGGAGACACTAGCCTGCAGGTAGAAAAAAAAAAGAAGGAAGATCCGTGTGTCAGCCAGGCTTTCAAATATTTGGCATGGATATGAAAGGAGAGCAGGCAGGAATTACCAATAAAAGTAAAATGTATTCAATGTTTTTTTCAGTTACAGTAGTTTGCACCCAATCCCCAGACCTCTGTAATCTCTGCAGTCTGCATATTAACACATTAAAATCTAACGCCTAATACTTGCATATCTTTACTTTTTTTTCTAATGCCATTGGATTACATACTACTATATGCCTATTCTGGTCTCATGCATTCAAAAACAAAAACTACATTTTAAAATTCAATAATTTTATTTAATTGAATGGGTTCCATCCATCACTCATAGAAATTCTTAGGTGGCACGGTGTTCTTTACTAGTTATTTTTGTGGCTGTGCACATTTTCAAAAAGTCATTTTGAAGGAATTTACTTATCCTAGGATGAAACAGATATGAATGTTTCTTGACCATCATTATCTGAAAGTTTGGTATACAGTATCTGTGTTCCATTCTGTCCTGCTGTAGATGTTAGAAACCTATTCTTTGTTACACTGAGGTAATGGAATTTTGAATGACGTCTAATTCCATCATGTTTGATCATTTACTTATGCAGCTCACTCCTTACTAACAATAAATCAACATGTTGGAAAAATGCTTCAGTGCAAGTTATGAATCCTGACAGCTCACAGTCTGAAGTGATCCAGCCTAGAATACCACCCCTTTATCCATTAGCTCTGCATTGAGCATTTCTGAAATGGAATAGTAAAGAATAGGATGGCCTCAATAAATTGGTTTGAATTCCTATCATTTTTCACCCTACTGTTTCTCTGTATAGTTTTATGCCTTTTTTTGCAGAAGTTAAAAATTTAAAACTCTACACAAGGGAAGAACATATTTTTGCATCCCTGTTATTCCCTTTCTTTTAATTTTTCTGTTAATCGGCACTAGCATTAAGATTTTTTCCCCTCTGATAAGTTGTCATACTTAAAATAGTTTCTAAAGCCAAAGACTTCTTGAGGCTACTGTGTAATAATTAAAAAAAAATATTGCAACTAAGTTATTTCTTTCTTCATTGATACTGAGGGGAAATTTGATGACAGATTCTTCAAATCTGAATGATTGGTACAGTTCACTATGAAATAACAAAGTAGTAGCCAAGGTTTTGGACCTTGAAAGCGTCTACAGACAATGCTGGCTCTTCTGCTTAGAAATGGAGATGAGCACACCTCCCAGAGTTGGACTCGACTATACTTAATGTCAAGGGGAAACCTTTACCTTTTGCCTATTGCTAGGCAATGGTAATCACTCCTTGCTTTGTTCTTGTGTTTTTAAATGTTGTGTTTATATGTGCATTCAAGCCAACTGTTGCTTCAAATTTCCTAGGGTTTTCTTAACAATAGAGTTTGCCCTAGAAATATGCGGTTTTGACTTTTGTGAATTTGATTATTCATGGATTTGGTTGAAATGTTCTCTCAAGGAATCTCTAGGCCCTTCAGTAAAATTTGATGTTGAGCTTCCGATGGAAGTTGACCGTACAATGGAAGAGGACCTAGACATCCTTTATCATTTTGGTTCCTAGAAGTGTTTGGTTTGGTTTTTAAAAAATTGTTAAAAATGTATTTATTGATATGTATGTAATATCAAGAAAAACAATTAAAATAGCATTTTTCATGGGTTTTCACTTTCACAAGCATCTTGTGGCCTTAGCCCATCCATATGTGGAGGGTTCACTGTACTCATCGATTTTGCCTGTTTGTTCCTTTGAAATATACAGCATGTGGGATTCATTAGCAGTCTTCCATCCAAGTAGTAACCAAAATTAAACACAGGCATTTAGGCATATTATCTTCTCTCAAAAAGGGGGAAATGATTTTCACCCTCTAAATATTTCCACTCTCTGTCACTGCCATTTCTCCTCCTCCTTCTTGCTGTCTGTCTCTCTTTCCTACAGATTTCTTTTATGAAGCTCTGACTAGGTTTCTCAGAGGAGAAACTACTTCTCTTTTGAATTTCCCACTTCATCTTTGCTACTAAAACTTTTAAGTAATCCTTTATCATTTAAGTTCCTTGATTTCTCTCAACCTTTGTGGATTATTTTTGAACTTTTGCCTGAAGAAACTTTTAAAATCTTTTTTTATTAAAAAAACCAAGGACTTTAAGAAGTTTTATATCAAAAGCATCTACAAATCCTAAACTCTCAGTGAATGACTGAAGTACATTTCTTTTATAGCTGGATTTTTTTTAAAAAAAAAAACCTTTGGTTAGCTGCACTGCCAAGGATACTAGTCCAAGTTAGGGTTTAATATTAATATACTTTCTTTTGTGTTCTATTTAAACTGTCTTAAAATAATATAGGCCTGCAAAATTGAGTGTCATACATTTTTTAAAAAACGTGTGCTGGTTTTATAGGAATTTGGCATTCTAAATCCCCAAAATAACTACAAAATTGGGAATTCCAAATCCAAAAATAACATGATGCATATTTTTTCCATAACTTGTTTTTCTTTTATATATAAGATTTTTGGGAGGAGTAAAGTGTAAATACAGAGGGAGGCAGCATAACTTCTTTTTTTTTAAATGTGCATCAGTCAGTTGAAGACGTAGCGGAGCGCTAGTGATCTCATTTGAGAGGCGGGAGTATAAAGTTTTGTCCTTACACAGCTCAGTCACCATCATGGAACAGTGAGGAGTGTGCTTTTGCCGTTGAGGCCTACTTTTCGAGTGGATTTGGAGTGGCCGGCCCGCTCTCCAGATTTGGCCCCTTGCGATTTTTTCTATGGGGTTTTTTGAAATCCAGTGCTTATATGAACCATCCAAGGACCCTACAAGATTTGAAGACCAACATCCAGGAAGAAATTGCCAACATAACACCTGCTATGCTGGCAAGAGTCATGACAAACACCAGAAATCGGTTTACTCAGTGTATGGAGAATGGGGGACGTCACCTACCTAATTTGATCTTCAAAACTATGTAAAACAAAACTTTAGGTATGCGCCTACATTATAAAAAAAAATCTGATTCATACAATGGGTTTTATTAAGTTTTGAAAAAAAGGAAGTTATGCTGCCTCACCCTGTAGTAAGAAAGGGGTTAAATTCTTCTCATAAACTTTCAAAACATTCTAATTCACTGATACAAAACAAAAATTAATTAAAAAGCACTCAAAGAAATCACACTGAAACATCAGGACCTGAAGTTAATCCAAACTGAGTAACAATTGGATTGATAAAATAGGGCACATAAATCAAACTCAAGGCCATGGGCCAAATGCAGCCTGCCAGGTAATTTTTGCAGCCTTCTAGATGCTGGACTACATCTCCTGTGATGGGAGTTGTGATACAGTAACATCTGAAAGGTTGAAGTTTGTTAGTGGGAGTTTGAATTTAGATACAAGGCTTGTGGATATGATGTCTGACTTTAAAATGCTCTTTAATCTTTCCTCAACCTCAGAGCCATAATGGATGTTGGGTTGCAATTCCTATTATTCCCAGTCTGGAACTCACAGTAGTGTCACTGTTTATGCAGTGGACACCAAAGTCTTGATCTCACCAGTTCCCCGCCCACCCAGTCAACTGTGTGATAAAGGGTTGCATGTATATTTGTGGATCGGCTAATTACACAGGGGAATTCTACTAATGCAACCTCAGGGAAAGCACAACCATTTGTAAAACAGTTTGCATACTACCGCTGTGCCCCATCAAGGTTCTGGGCATATGCTATAGCAATAACATTTTAACTGCTTCAGCTGTTATGCTTTAATCAGCACTGATATTTTTAATGCAATGTATCATGTGTTTTTTATCTGCATCTTTTCATCATTTTGTGTGCCACTGAAATACAATTTAAATTGATTTTATGTTTGATGTGGTTCTAGTTTAGTGATTACACTATATACAATCACCTAAGCAAATTCAAAGAGAAAGAATGAAAAACCTATCTTTCAGCAGCAACTGTCTCTCAGCTTCAGTTTGCTGGACCTCTACTCTTCATTCAAGACCACCTCATCTCATCTGTTGTACCTTCCTCTCTACCAAAGCTGCTTGAAACATCTGCAGTCATATGCATAATTATACATAACAGAGTAAATGTGATTTTCAGCCTCTCTGAGTACTTGAAATATAAAAGGTGTCATCTTTGGGGCATTTCTACCACTTTGCAATAGATTCATCCCTGACCTGCATGTAAATACGTTTATGGAGGAAATTACACTGAAATAAATCATGAATGTATCTTGAGCTTCTCCCTCCCCCCACCCACCTCCCCTCCCCTCTATCTATCTTGCAGGTATAGAGATTGTGTTTTTGAATGGTTACTGGTATCTGCCTGAAAAATGTATCTGTAGCACAAGGGTAGTGACTTATCTCTTTATAAGTGGTTTTCTTAACTAATTGATTTTAAAATTCACTCTTCTTGCAAGGAATTTGAAATACAAGGGAATTTTCCATTTTGTCTTTCCTGGGAGATTCATTCAGCTGAAAGATGGCTCTCTTTCTTGAGTTATATTCCATCTTATTTATGATTATTCATTTTATTTCTGGTGATTTAATTTGTTTGACTTATGTGTTTATTATTATTTATGTTATTGTTTTGTTGTAAGCCATTCCAAGTACTTTTGGGAGAAGGAGCAGGATATAAATAAAACTTCATTCATTCATTCATTCATCTTTCTGAACGAGGGTTGGATTTTGTTGGGCATTTCCAACTCAAGCCCAGCACTTATCCTCCTTTCCCCTGAGCAACCTTTATACATGGCATGTAATCACTTACTATGTGCTTTCTGGTCAACTGAAATATGCTAGATCTATTGCTCAGGTGAATCGGGGCGATAAAGACTATGTTGGGATGGGTATGTTATTTTTTTTCTAAATTTGGCTAAATTCTTAAAAGAGTCATACTCAGGATGTTCTTAAACATTTAATTAATCTAATTCTACTTGTAGAAAGTTTGCCCATGACAGTATGGAGAGGAGGGTCATAACCTACACAGGATG